CCAATCTCCATGGGCGATGGTCCGTCCCTCGATCGAGCGTCGTTGATCGGTCTGTTGTATCCCCTATCGCGATCGTCACGACCCCGTCGGCTTCGTACTGCGTCGACGCGTTCTGCGGCTGCGACAACTGACTCGAAGGTGGACAACCCGTGAATCGCTATAACTTCCGCTATGTCCGGCTTCAACCCTTCGAGGTAGCGGTCGCGCATCTCTGCTTCCGTGATGTCATCTATTTCGTTGCAGATGCTCAAGAACCGTCGTGTGTACTCCTGGACGTTTCCTATCTGTCGGAAATGACGCAGACGCTTCCTAGCAGCTTCGGAGGCGTTCACCAAATCGAACCTACTTTTCAGCGCCGCTTCAAATCCTTCCCATGTGGTCGGAACCGTGGTAACACCCAAAGCTAAACTCCCTAAGCTCGAAGTTGCAGCTACATGCCCCACGCCCTGTTGATGCCCGTCTGTCTGAGCCCTTCTTACAGCAGTTTGCGTAAGTTGGCGCCACCACTCCAAGGCCGGGCCCCTCAGCAGCGTAACGGAGTACTCGATCCGCTGCTGCGCGTCCGCCTCTTGCACCCCGCTCGCGGCGAAGTAATTGTTGAGCATGAAGATCCACGTCCGCACGTTCGCGTCGCGTTGATTTGGGTCGAACGGCTCGGGTTTCTGTGGCTTGAGCGCGCTTCGACGTTCCGGCAGCGCTTCCGTGCCAGTCGACGTGTTGGGTGCAGGAGATGGTGCGGCATGACCATGAGAAATTGACACGAATTCACGAAGCTGTTGCATTTCAGCTCGTACCTGACGATTTTCCAACGTCAACTGTTCGAGTTGGCGCATGAGTTGAGAAAGCGCATTGCCCATGTCGTTGGGGAGAGCGTTCATGGTCTCGTCCATGTTGGCTCGACGACTCCAAGTCTGCAAGTCGGCACCGCGGGACGATGACGTCGTAGTCTCGTCGTCGACGGTCGCTCGTTGGAAGTCGCTCCCCACGAAGGCTCCTGATACCAAGTGTTAGGCCCGACGGCCTAAGTCCGCTAAAGAATTAGCGGGGTTGACTAAGTCGAGGATGAAATGCGGCGGAAGACTTTGGCGAAAGAACTATTGGCGAAATAGGCGAGGAAGTTACTGAGTAATTGAAGAAGAGTTGAATGAGAATTGGTTGATATTGGTGGATACAAGCAAGGATGATATAGCATGCAAGATCGAATGTCGGAAAGTACTCTGTGGGACTAGGAAATGTGAGGCAAAGAAAGTAGAGTGCCACGTGGCACTAGGAAATCTAGAAAGATAAGATGAGGATGAGTTGGATGGGTTGGGAACAGTAAATCCCCCTTTAACACAATATGTTTGTGGAAACATGCATTTTTCAGTAAAAGGTTGACTAATCTTTTGTATATACATCATGTGTACAAAACGCGTAGGAAAATCACTAGGCCGTAAACCCTTTCATAAAGTGCTAACCTCCCTTAACCCAAACTCTCATAAATACGTTTTCTCCCTAGGACGTCTACAATCGCATGTCTACCAAGTATGGCACATCCACCTTTGGCACCCCCTTCTCAATCTCTTGCTCCTCACCCCGTCGATCCGGCCAGTCCACCTCAGCCTCACCCAGAGTATATGCTGCTCGCAAAAGGATCACACGTTCCAGCGCCATCTGCAATGCTACCCCTACCGCGAGTGTCAAGGACCCAACCAAGTATGCCGAGAAACCTGAACGGTTGCCCCTTCCCACACCTTTATTAAGAGCCTCCTTTAGATGAACATCCCAATGTGGTCGTAACCACTGTCGGAAGCTCCACCCCAAGCAACCCCAAGTCTCAAGAATCAATGGGGCGAAACGTACCCCTCTGTGCTGCTGCAGGGAAGGGTGATAGTTATGCGCTCTAGCTTTATAACAAACTGTCCGTCCACACTGCCCATGCTGTTCCGCCGGTAGAGAAACTGGATCACGACGCTCACCTCGAGTGCATGTGCTTCCCCGTCCATCGGTTTCCTAACCGCCACATCCAGCCTCTCCTCTGATAGTAGCGTGTCATCCTCATTCGTAACTACCCCCACCCGACTTCTTGGCTACCGTATCTTGGCGACCACAAACTTCCCTGCATCATGAACACGAGAGGGGTCATACTGGTGCTTGCAGCGGAAGGCATGGTGAGGGTCCGACGGGTCCGTGAACTCCACGCCACAAACACACCTGCAGGCGACCGGAAGTTGGTGGACGGGAAGGCCTAGGCGGATCGCCGCCAAAATGCTACACTCAACAGGAGTGAAAGTAGCGGCATTGTGCTCTGGAACTGCGGATACCCATATTGCCGCACCCAGGCCCTGAAGGGAAGTCAAACGGGTCAAGGTAGCGTCATCACGAGCCATGCGCCGCAAGGATTGAACACTTTCAGCTGCCAAGCGACGCTGCTGCGCTGAGAAATGCACAAGGGGGGGGGGGGAGGGGGGGGGAGGGAGGGGTTCATAGTGCAGAGCCCAAGGCTCGGCAAGTCCTGCCTGATAGCCGACGGGAGCTGGTCAAGGGCCTTGGTATACAAAGGGTCCAGTAAGTCCCCAGCCTGCGGAGTGCAAAAAAACTCCTTGAACATTTCCTCTTCGCCTGCCACTCCCAACTTGGCAACGACACTCACAGCTTGGCACCATCCACGTACGTAAGAGATGGGGCTAACATCTGGTACGTAACGGGAGGTGCAGCTGCAAGCGACCCATACGCGACCTTTCAGGGTTGAAGCCCTAAGTGCTAGGCAGGAAATGCTGCTCAAACAACTCCTCCAAAGCACCATCCCAATCCATAAAAGCATCAACGGCCTCGGGACGAGGGGGCAGTGCGAGTGACGAAAAGCGGGCGCGCAGATACGGCGACAGCCAGCAGATGTGAGGCAATCTCGGGTGATTCAAAGCAGGAAGCCAAGGCAGCGGTGACAGCAGCTGCGTAAGTCGCTCCCTCAAGCACGCTACCTCCCAGTCCTCCTCTCCGATAGGATCTCCCACCATTGTTAACCCAGGCCGGGCATGCTACATCCCCAACAGAAATGCTCCAGTCGTTTCCGCCTCTCCCCGTTCCCACATCCTAAACTTGTGCGATTGCACCTCCAAGCCCACCGACTCCAGCCGCTCCCGTGGGACGCTATACGCCGCCAAGACCCGCTCCCGTGGCCCAAGAACATAGGTGTCATCGGCATAGGTCAGGAAAATGAGATAAGGAGATTCCTTCATTGTGGGCTCCATGACGAGTTGCTGCGTGAAAGCGAAAAGGAAGGGACCGAATGGGTTCCCCTATCGCGAGCCCCTCTCGGATGCCATCATCTCGACAAAGGGGCCTGTGCGAATGTAAAAGCTGCTGGGCACCATATAGAAGATGCGTAAGAAAGGTATAAAGATAGCGAAAGGAGGATCGCGAAGTCCGTCGAACATTGTGTGTCGATGGAACAGATTGAAGGCATTCACTAGATCGATCTGCAACGTACACCACGACGGATGGGTCGCAACAGCAGAGCAAAAAGCGTGTTTACATCCATCCATGCTTTTGGTGTCAATGCATTGCACTCATGCGTGTGCTTGTGCTTGTGCTTGTGCTTGGTACTGACATGGTGGCTAGCTACCCTAAAAATGGGAGCACAAATGGTACAACTCACGGCCACGTCAATGTTCAGCGTATCAATGCTCTCATGCTTGGTATTGATGCTCATGGTGCTGCCACTGATGGTGCTCAAGCTGATGGCATCGCTGCTCGTGGAGCTGACACTGATATTGCCGATGCCCATGGTGCCGATGCTTACGGTGCCGATGCTTACGGTGCCGATGCTCACGGTGCCGATGCTCACGGTGCCGATGCTCACGGTGCCGATGCTCACGGTGCCGATGCTCACGGTGCCGATGCTCACGGTGCGGATGCTCATGGTGCCGATGCTCACGGTGCCGACGCTCACGGTGCCGACGCTCACGGTGCCGACGCTCACGGTGCTGATGCCCATGGTGCCGATGCTCACGGTGCCGATGCTCACGGTGCGGATGCTCATGGTGCCGATGCTCACGGTGCCGACGCTCACGGTGCCGACGCTCACGGTGCCGACGCTCACGGTGCTGATGCCCATGGTGCTGATGCTCATGGTGCCGATGCTCATGGTACCAATGCTCATAGTGGTGATGCGCATGCTACTGGTACTGATACTGATGGTCGTGAAACAATTATTAGAGTCGAGATGAAAGTCCTCTTCCACGTGCTATTCAACCAATTGATCCATGGTCCTCAAGGAAAGCTCAAAGAGAATACTCAAGGCAGTGGTGGGATCAGCAGTGTGAACCGACATAGGGGAACTTTGATATGGGATAAGGGATAGAGATTGGGGGAGGGAGAGGGAAAAGGGATAGATATCGGAAGAGGGAGAGGGAAAAGGGATAGATATCGGAAGAGGGAGAGGGAAAAGGGATAGATATCGGAAGAGGGAGAGGGAAAAGGGATAGATATCGGAAGAGGGAGAGGGAAAAGGGATAGATATCGGAAGAGGGAGGGGGAAAAGGGATAGATATCGGAAGAGGGAGAGGCAAATTAAAAGTCAAAAGGTTTGGGCAACTATGTCAGGAGTGGGATTTGAACCCACGCCCTTTCGGACCAGTACCTGAAACTGGCGCCTTAGACCAACTCGGCCATCCTGACACGCTTAACTATTGCGTCTATTTTTTTTAGTTCTTTGTATGTATTGGCCAGAGGTAATATATCGCAGTTGAACTCTGTCTCATATGATACCGTATTTCAAATTTGCATCTTCAACCTTATCATACGGAAACTGAGACGTATGAACAAAATTTTCAGTAATGTAAGGATCGTAATGAGTCTGTCTATTCAGTGCTAAAAACAGATCTACAAACTAACCGTTGTTCAGTCAGTCTGAAATCCGTAAAATCTAGCCAGCTTACTAGCTCACCTCTGTGACGTGCCGCGCTTTTAGTTAGTGTTTCCCATTGCGCTTGAGCGGCTCGTACCAGGCGCGTCGCGAAATGGACGCTCCCGCTGGTCGCGGCGTGCGTTACACGTCAGTAACCGGCGCTTCGGGAGATTCGATTTCATCAGCTGGTGGCCGCTTCTCTCCCGCCCTTGGCCCAACTTCTCGCGGAATTTCCGGAGGGAATGGCGGCGGCGTGCCGGAGGACCGAGCGAGACGCGTGAAGAGCCTATTGGAAGGGTATTACGGGCACGGGGGTGGAGCACCAGGAGCGGAAGACGCGGCGGGATCGGCGGCGGGGAGTTCGGGGGGTCGCGACGACATCAACTCGAGAGCGTTTGACGCGGATTCGTTTGTAGCAAACTTGGTGCGTCAATAGCGAGACGTATGAGACTTGTAGAGACTTCTATTTCTGGTCTGTGAGGTTAGGGTTGAGAGAGGTAGGAATCTTCGACCAGTAACCGAGTGTTGAGGCGTAACTGTCGTCCCAAAACTAGAGACGTGTCAAAAGGAAAGACGGCTTAAATGGTTAGAAGTCCCAAAACCGTAGGCGTTTCATCTTACAACTAGAGACGTCTCAGCTCAGAACAATAGAAGTCTCATCTCATAACTAGAGAGTTCTCGAAGCGGTGCTGTGAGTTGTCTTCGAACCGTGTTTTAAGACGTCTGAGTTAATGTATTTTGTGCTGCCTGCTGCTGCTGCGGCTACTGCTGGTGCTGCTGCTGGTTCTGCACTTGCTGCATTGCCACACCATCTACTGCTTGAGGAGACCCCCCTGACCCTTCAATCCTCCTCATACTCCCTTGTTCCAAGCCTCCCGTATTCCCCTTTCGCTCTCAGATCCGAGAGGCAAATCGGGACAATCTGCTTCAGAAGCACGTGCTCTGTGTGTTGTTGCTGCTACTGCTGCTGGCATCTCAGGTTTCTCGTTCCGTGCCTCTCATACTCCCTTCCTCCCACTCAAATCCGATCCGAGAGGCGAAGCGGGACTATCTGCTACAGAAGCAGCAGATAGTAACTTGTCGATAATGTATATTCAAGCTGTCCTGTTGAAGAGATGGATACGGTGCAGCAGAAGCCGGAGCAAATGCTTGTTGAGGAGATTTTCATATTCAAAGCAAGGGCGAAGTATCTGGAAAATGTGTTTCCAGTGGAAGAAGCTGTTGCAGTGATACTGGTCATCCTTCAGATTATCAAGGACTATGGTGTGCTGGCAGAGGCGGAGATGTGTGTGTGTTACGGAATGGTGATGTGCAGCAACACGTTCATCGTGCTGTCCTAAGTTCATCGAATGACAGCACGATGACGTGTTGTTGCACATCACCATTCGGTAACACACTCACATCTCCTGCCAGCACACCATAATCCGTGATAATCTGAAGGATGATCAGTTTCACTGCAACAACTACTTGCAATGGAAACACATTTTCCAGATACATCGCTTCGCCCTTGCTTGAAAATCTCCTCAGCAAGCATTTGTTCCGGCTTCTGCTGCACCGTATCCATCGCTTCAACAGAACTGCTCAAATATACATTGTCGACAAGTTACACACACGTGTCGTGGGCGGCAGAGATCAAGAACATGGACAGCGACATGCAGATGCCCGTACTGTGCTTGCCGCTGCTGCTGCAGTGACATCTCCCTTCTCCCTTGTCCATTCCCGCCTGCTTGGTGTTCGTCCCCTGCCTCACGCAGATCAGATCCGGGAAGCCAAGCTGGACAATTTGCTGCAGAACATGTGTCGTGTTTGCCCTCGCTGCTAACTTCTCCCTGCAAACCGTCTCCTCTTTGCTTGCCTCTCCTATTCCCCGCCCCCACTCAGATCCGGCAAGCCAAGCTGGACGATTTGCTGCAGAAGCATGTGTCGTGGGCAGCAGAGATAAAGAACCTGGACAGTGACATGCAGATGCTTGTGTATGAGAATTACAGCAAGTTCATCAGCGCTACTGATACCATCCGCACGTGAGTGGTGGGAGAAGTTGCTTCAGGTTCGTAACATGGGGTGTGCTGCTTGGAACAACCTGGACAGTGACATGCAGATGCTGGTGTATGAGAACTACAGCAAGTTCATCAGCGCCACTGATACCATCCGCACGTGAGTGGTTGTGAGGGGTAGTTCCAGGTTCCTACAAGGGAGATTCTGTTGGTTGGGAGATTCTGTTGTTGTGAGTGGTGATTGGGTGGTTTGGTTGAGATGACTCCAAGCAAGCGCACGGCATATCAATGTATCAGCGGCAGAGAGCAAGACCTGGACAGCGACATGCAGATGCTGGTGTATGAGAAAGTTCATCAGCGCTACTGATACCATCCGCACGTGGGCGATTGCGAGAGGTAGTCTCAGGTTTCTTGAATGGGTGTGCTGCTTGGAAGATCCTGGACAGTGGCATGCAGATGCCGGTGCAAGTTCCCCTCCCTCCTCCCCACCCCCCATCAGCATGAAGTGTAACGTTGCAAGCATGGAGTCCAGTATGGACCAGCTGCTGCTTGCGTCCACCTAACATCCCCCTCCGCTTCCCATCTTCTCTTTGCCCTCTCCTCCTCCCCACCCCCCATCAGCATGAAGTGTAACGTTGCAAGCATGGAGTTCAGTATGGACCAGCTGCTTCCATCCATTCCACTCACTCTCCTCCTCCCGGCTACTCCTTTGTGCACACCCTTACATCTTCACTTTCCATCCCCTACCTACCCCCCATCAGCATGAAGGGCAACGTGGTGAGCAAGGAGTCCAGCATGGATGGACCAGCTGCTGCTTCCATCCACTCACCCTCGACCCTCCTTCCCCTCCCCCGTGACTTGTTTATGGCCCCCCACCCCCAACCCCCCATCAGCATGAAGGACAACGTGGGGAGCATGGAGTCCAGTATGGACCAGCTGCTGCGCACAGTACGTGAATTCTAATGATTGGGTTTTCGTCGATAAGGGGCATTCGTGTGTTGACTGTATTTGACCCCGATGATTGGCCTTTAGTTTCACGGTTACCTGGTTGGTATGTGCTCGCTCGTGCACCGACTTTTGAGTCGACTCAAAAGTCAGCCAATGATTGGATTGGCCTTTAGTTTCACCTGGTTGGTATGTGCTCGTGCACCGCACCGCACCGCACTGTATGTTGACACGCAGGGCAAATTTTTAGGCGCCTCAAATATCGCCTTTAGTTTCACCTGGTATGTGCTCGCTCGTGCACCGCACGCACTGTACATTGACACGAAGGACAATGCAGGAAGCACATGTGAAGGGCTCCCTTTTTTCCAAAATCCAATCTCCCCTCACTTCATTCCACCGTTTCCAATTTCCCTTCCCCTTTCTCCATTCCCCTTTTCTCGTGCCCGTTTTTCCGTCTCCCGTTGTCCCCTTTCCTCATTCCCCTTTCCCCTTTGACTTTTGAGTCGACTCAAAAGTCAATTCCGTCTCCCGTTGTCCCCTTTCCTCATTCCCCTTTCCCCTTTGACTTTTGAGTCGACTCAAAAGTCAATTCCGTCTTCCGTTGTCCCCTTTCCTCATTCCCCTTTCCCCTTTGACTTTTGAGTCGACTCAAAAGTCAATTCCGTCTCCCGTTGTCCCCTTTCCTCATTCCCCTTTCCCCTTTCCCCTTTGACTTTTGAGTCGACTCAAAAGTCAATTCCGTCTCCCGTTGTCCCCTTTCCTCATTCCCCTTTCCCCTTTGACATTTGAGTCGACTCAAAAGTCAATTCCGTCTCCCGTTGTCCCCTTTCCTCATTCCCCTTTCCCCTTTGACTTTTGAGTCGACTCAAAAGTCAATTCCGTCTCCCGTTGTCCCCTTTCCTCATTCCCCTTTCCCCTTTGACTTTTGAGTCGACTCAAAAGTCAATTCCGTCTCCCGTTGTCCCCTTTCCTCATTCCCCTTTCCCCTTTGACATTTGAGTCGACTCAAAAGTCAATTCCGTCTCCCGTTGTCCCCTTTCCTCATTCCCCTTTCCCCTTTGACTTTTGAGTCGACTCAAAAGTCAATTCCGTCTCCCGTTGTTCCCTTTCCTCATTCCCCTTTCCCCTTTGACTTTTGAGTCGACTCAAAAGTCAATTCCGTCTCCCGTTGTCCCCTTTCCTCATTCCCCTTTCCCCTTTCCCCTTTGACTTTTGAGTCGACTCAAAAGTCAATTCCGTCTCCCGTTGTCCCCTTTCCTCATTCCCCTTTCCCCTTTCCCCTTTGACTTTTGAGTCGACTCAAAAGTCAATTCCGTCTCCCGTTGTCCCCTTTCCTCATTCCCCTTTCCCCTTTGACTTTTGAGTCGACTCAAAAGTAAATTCCGTCTCCCGTTGTCCACTTTCCTCATTCCCCTTTCCCCTTTCCCCTTTGACTTTTGAGTCGACTCAAAAGTCAATTCCGTCTCCCGTTGTCCCCTTTCCTCATTCCCCTTTCCCCATTCCCCTTTCCCCTCCTCCCTCTCCCTTTTCCCTCCCCCCCTGCTCCCTCAAGTGACGACCGTGCAGGAGCAGAGAAAGGAGAGAAAGGAGCAGACTGGCACCTCACATCACATCACGTGCAACCCGTGTGCACTCCCTCTCCCTAACCGTCCTTCCCTCCGTCCCTCCCTCCCCCCCTCCCTTTGAGGCGCCTCAAAAGCCTCCTCCCCTCCTTTTGAGGCGCCTCTAAAAGACCTCACATCACATCACATCACATCACATCACGTGCAACCCGTGTGCACTCCCTCTCCCTAACCGTCCTTCCCTCCGTCCCTTCCTCCCCCCCTCCCTCTTGTTTGAGGTTGATTTTGAGAATTCTCAAAATCAACCTCAAACAGCAGACTGGCACCTCCCATCACATCACGTGCAACCTGTGTGCATTCCCTCTCCCTAGCCGTCCTTCCCTCCGTCCCTCCCTCCCCCCTCCCTCTTGCCCCCTTGTCTCCCCTTCCCCAGGTGACGACAGTGCAGGAGCAGAGCACGGCTATCAACAGCAATCTGTCAGAGAGGAGGGAGCGGACTGGCTGGCAGTTCACATGGCTTCTACCCCTCCCCAGCCATCCTTCCCTCCTGCCCCCCCTCCCTCTCCCAGGTGACGGCAGTGCAGGAGCAGAGCACGGCCATCAACAGCAATCTCTCAGAAAGGAGGGAGCGGATCGAGCAGCTGAATGGCACACGCAGCCTGCTGAGGAAGGCACAGGTGGGATTAGGTTCGGTGGGCTAGTTTGGTGGATGGGTGCAAGAGAGCAGAGCACAGCCATCAACAAATCTTTGTCAGAGAGGAGGGAGCGGAATGAGCAGCTTAACGGCACTCGCAGCTTGCTGAGGAAGGCACAGGTGGGATGGTTTGAGGCAGTATGTGTTAGTTAGCACACACATGGGTGCAAGAGAGCAGAGCACAGCCATCAACAGGTCTCTATCAGAGAGGAGGGAGCGGATTGAGCAGCTCAACGGCACTCGCAGCCTGCTGAGGAAGGCACAGGTGAGAGTTTAGGTTGGTCTGGGTTGGGCTGAGATATCAACACAATCTCCCGCTTCTGTTCTCCCTCTCCCTCTCTCGCTTTCTTCCCCCCTTCATTGTTTCTCTCCCTCCCCCCACTTTTTTCTGCTCCCTCGCAGTTCATATTCGACCTGCCCAAGCGCCTGAGAACCAACTCCAAGAACCACCACCAGAACCATTCGATTCGTAGGTCAGCATAATCTCTCCTCCCTTCGCATCTCCCTCTCCCCCTTCCCCCTCGTCGTTTTGCTGCCTCGCAGTTCATATTCGACCTGCCCAAGCGCCTCAGAACCTACTCCAAGAACCACCAGTACCGTGCAGCAGTCAAGGCATACGTGGGCGCTCTACCCATTCTGCAGGTATTATGGCCTATTGCTCTTTTCCGTTGCTTCCTCTTTGCACTCATTGTGCGGATTCACTGCTGGGATGAATGAGAGCCTACTCCAAGAACCACCAGTACCGTGCAGCAGTCAAGGCATACGTGGGCGCTCTACCCATTCTGCAGGTGCGGTTTGGTTTGTCTTTGCTTCTTTTTTGCACCGTGCATTTAAGTCACTGCTGGGATGAATGAGAGCCTACTCCAAGAACCACCAGTACCGTGCAGCAGTCAAGGCATACGTGGGCGCTCTACCCATTCTGCAGGTGCGGTTTGGTTTGTCTTTGCTTCTTTTTTGCACCGTGCATTTAAGTCACTGCTGGGATGAATGAGAGCCTACTCCAAGAACCACCAGTACCGCGCAGCAGTCAAGGCATACGTGGGCGCTCTACCCATTCTGCAGGTGCGTTTGCGTGTCACTCACTCACAGTCCATCAAAGTCATGTCGTTGCTGGGGTGACTAAGGACCTACTCCAAGAACCACCAGTACCTACCGCGCAGCAGTCAAGGCATACGTGGGCGCTCTGCAGGTGTGGTGCAGTGGCCTATCGCTTGTTTCCTTTCGCTTTGCACCTTGAACTCTGTTGGGACGAATGTGAGTGAGCCTACCCCAAGAGCCACCAGTTCCGCGCCACAGTCAAGGCTTATGTCTTGTCTACCTACCCATCCCGCAGGTGCAGGAGCTGTCAAGAGAGGACAGGTCGCTTGTCTGTCGCTCTTCTTCTTCGCAGCTTGTTCTCTCTCATCCCACCCAACCAACCTATAACGTTGTTGAACCTTCATAATTTCTCTCTCTTTCCTTTCCCTCCTCTCTCCTCTCTCTTGAACATCCCCGTTCTCCTTCCGAACATGCAAGAAGGAGGCTGATGATGACGTCATGGCAGGCATCAGCAAGAGAGGCTGCAGGCTCCTCCAGCTCATGCCATGCCATGCAAGAAGAAGGCTTCTTTCACATTCACACCATGCCTAAACCCCTAACGTTGAATGTTCTCACTCCAAACCAAACCACCCCTTCCCCCTTTCCATTCCACGTCTTGACCCTCCTTCCCTCCCTCCTTTCCCCCTCCCTCCCTGGCAGTCTTATGGTGAAACATCCTTCCGAACAAACTTCTGAGGCGCCTCAAAAGTCGTCTTTCCCCCTCCCTCCCTGGCAGTCTTATGGTGAAACATCCTTCCGAACAAACTTTTGAGGCGCCTCAAAAGTCGTCTTTCCCCCTCCCTCCCTGGCAGTCTTATGGTGAAACATCCTTCCGAACGTGCAAGAAGGAGGCTGATGACGTCATGGCAGGCATCAGCAAGCGGCTGCAGGCGAGGGTGATGAGTGAGGAGGAGGCGATGGAGCAGAGGGCCGAGGCTGCTGAGCTGCTGCAGGAGCTGGGCCACCAGGTAAGGGCGTTGACTTGGTGTTGACCTGCGTTGACTTGGTGTTGACTGGCGCTGACTGGCGTTGACTTGGTGTGGGGCCTTGAGAATGGGGGCTGCAGGCGCGGGTGATGAGTGAGGAGGAGGCGATGGAGCAGAGGGCCGAGGCAGCTGAGCTGCTGCAGGAGCTGGGCCACCAGGTGAGGGCGTTGACTGGCGTTGACCTGCGTTGACTTGGTGTTGACTGGCGCTGACTGGCGTTGACTTGGTATGGGGCCTTGAGAATGGGGGCTGCAGGCGCGGGTGATGAGTGAGGAGGAGGCGATGGAGCAGAGGGCCGAGGCAGCTGAGCTGCTGCAGGAGCTGGGCCACCAGGTGAGGGCGTTGACTGGCGTTGAATTTGCTAAGGCCAGTCCATTACCCTTCACCTAGGCCAAACACCTATGTCGTTGCTATGCCCTGGCCTGGCCTACCCACACACACAAACACTGCCAGGTGGTCCTCTCATGGACGCGTCACGCACGTCTGTCAACGCACTGGGAGCGGCTGGTGGGGGAGCTGAGGCAGGCAGGCAGGCAGGCAGGCAGGGCGGGGAAGCAGAAGGCGAAGCCCATTTGCTGTACCTGCTGACTACAACTACCAACCACCACTCACCCCCTGCCCTCAACTCAACCCACAGGTGGGCCCTCTCATGGACGCATATCTGTCCACGCACTGGGAGCGGCTGGTGGGGGAGCTGCGGCAGGCGAGCGATGAGGTGGGCAGAAAAGGGGCAACCCCCCTTGCTGACTTGGCTTACTCCCTACCTGACATACACCTTACCTTGTTCCCTCGAACCACCCACACACACATTGCCAGGTGGGCCCTCTCATGGACGCGTACCTGTCAACGCACTGGGAGCGGCTGGTGGGGGAGCTGCGGCAGGCGAGCGATGAGGTGGGCAGGAAGGGGGAGAGCGGCATGGTCGACCCCACTGCTCCCTCCCAGACCTTTGTTGACGCGCTCAAGAGGGTGAGAATGGGTGGAGGAGGGTGGAGTGAGCTGGGGGAGGGTGGAATGGGGTGGGGGAGGGTGCAGGCTGGTCGGGGAGTTGAGGCAGGCGAGTGAGGAGGTGGGCAGGAAGGAGGAGAGCGGCCTGGTTGACCCCACTGCTCCCTCTCAGACCTTTGTTGACGCGCTCAAAAGGGTGAGAATGGGTGGAGGAGGGTGGGTAGAGTGAGGTGGGGGTGGGTGGAGTGAGGTGACATAGGGTGCAGGCAGGTTGGTGGGGGAGCTGGGGCAGGCAAGCGATGAGGTGGGGAGGAAGGAGGAGAGAGAGCGGCATGGTTGACCCCACTGCCCCCTCGCAGACCTTCGTTGACGCGCTCAAGCGGGTGAGAATGGGTGGAGGACGGTGGAATGAGGTGGGGAAGGGTGCAGGATGGTAGGAGGCAGGCGAGTGACGAGGTGGGGAGGAAGGAGGAGAGCGGCATGGTCGACTCCACTGCTCCCTCGCAGACCTTTGTTGACGCGCTCAAAAGGGTGAGTATGAGAGAAGGAGGGCGGAGTGAGGGGGGAAACGTGGGGAGATGGAAAGGGGGGGTGGGGTTAAGCATGTTGGTGTGGTCGAATGTAGCATACTATCGAGCCTGCATTGCATCGCTTACCGCCTGTTCCGTCTCTCGCTCCCTGGCTCCTTCTCTCACTCTCTCCCTCGCTTTCAGGACTTCATGGACGATTTCGCGCGCACAGCTGCGTCGTTCCGAGGGATATTCCCCATGGGAGGGGTTCGAGAGCCGGCATACATGGACGACTTTGAACTCCTCCGCTCTCCTTCTTCTCTCCCTCTCCCTCTCCCTCGCTTTCACGACTTCATGGACGATTTCGAGCGCACGCACAGCCGCGTCGTTCCGAGGGATATTCCCCATGGGAGGGGTTTGGAACCGGCATTGTGTTGCTGTGCTGATCAGCAATGCCCCTGCTTGCTGCCGTACAACTCCTTTGCTCTTCCCCTCTCCCCAACAGGACTTCATGGATGATTTCGAGCGCACAGCCGCGTCGTTCCGAGGGATATTCCCCATGGGAGGGGACAAGCTCACTGATGCCACCCGTTCTCTATTCAACGAGTAAGAATCTGCCTCGTGGCACAGAAAGGTCCACATGGTCTAGTGAGCATGGGATATTCCCCATGGGCCGGGATAAGCTCACTGATGCCACCCGCTCCCTATTCAACGAGTAAGAGTGTGCCACGTGCCACGGACGCACGCACGCACGCACGCACGCACGCACGCACGCACACAACATGTATGTATTTTATTCCCTCGCTGGAACTCGTTCTTCCCTGTTCTTTCAAACTGGTTTGAGAATTCTCAAAAAAAATCTCAAAGAATTCTAAAAAAACACTCGTTCTTCCCTGTTCTTTCAAACTGGTTTGCATCTTATTCCTTTTCTTGCAGAGTGCACACCCTCCCGCCCCTCTCCTCTCCCGCCCACCTTCCCTCCCCCCTGCCCTCTCCTCGTCTACCAGGTGCATCACGTACTTGCAGCGCTGCATGCAGGCATCAGATCTGATTGCTGTTTCTTCTTTTAACAGTCCAGTAACACGATGCTTGTGGAATGTCCTCCCCCCACCCCCTCCCCCCTGCTCTCTCCTCGTCCACCAGGTGCATCACGTACTTGCAGCGCTGCAGGCAACCATCAGACTCCTGTTGAGAAACTCAACATGTTTTCTAGCAAGCTACTTGCAAATTGCACAACACACACCCCTCTATCCCTCCCCCCTGCCCTCTCCTCGTCCACCAGATACATCACATACTTGCAGCGCTGCATGCAGGCATCAGATCAGATTGCTGTTTCGTCTTGTCCAGTAACACGATACTTGTGGAATGTCTTTCCCCCACCCCCTCCCCCCTGCCCTCTCCTCGTCCACCAGATTCATCACGTACTTGCAGCGCTGCATGCAGGCATCAGACTCCCGGTCCCTTGGTTCTGATCCGACCTCGTACTCACATCCTGTCCTTCCCCTCCCACTACTCCCCCAACCCTTCCCCCCTCCTCTCCCTCCCACTAACCCCACCAGGTACATCACGTACTTGCAGCGCTGCATGCATGCAACCATCAGACGATCAGACCCCCGGTTCTTATCCGACCTCGTGCCCACATCCTGCAGGATCGTTCCAGCTCCCTCACCTTACATCGAATGGCGTTTCTTCAACCTGAGTCCGCTCTCGCAGTTGCTGTTGTTGCTGCCACCTGCTTCGGTAGCAGCAACAGCCACTGCAAGCGCGGATTTTAGGGTGAAGAAACGCCATCGGATGTAAGGCAAGGGAGCTGGAACGATTCATATTCATCCTTCCCCTCCCACTACCCCCCCACCCCTTCCCGCCTCCTCTCCCTCCCACCAACCCCACCAGGTACATCACATATCTGCAGCGCTGCATGCAACCATCCATCCGACTCCTGTTGGAAAAAATTAACATGTTTTCTAGCAAGCTACTTGCAAATTGCACAACACACACCCCTCTCCCTCTATCCCTCCCTTTCCTTCCCCCCCCCCCCACCAGGTACATCACGTACCTGCAGCGCTGCATGCAGCCTTCAGACTCCCGCTCCTCCTCTCCTCTGACCTCCTGCCCACATCCTGCCCTTCCCCTCCCACAACTCCCCAACCCCCACCTCTCCCTCCCCTCCCCCCCCACCAGGTACATCACATACCTGCAGCGCTGCATGCAGCCTTCAGACACCCGCTCCTCGTCTGACCTCGTGTTCGCACTCAGTGAGTGGGGGTAAGGGGGAGAAGCAGAGTCAGAAGGAGTGGTTGAATAGAGGGGTGAGTTGGGTGGGTGAGAGGGGGGAACATCTCATATCTGCAGCGCTGCATGCAGCCTTCAGACACCCGCTCCTCGTCCGACCTCGTGTTTGCGCTCAGTGAGTGGAAGGGGGTAAGGGGGAGAACCGGAATGAAAGGGAGTGGGTGAAAGAAGGGAACAAGTTCAGTTATCAATCTTTCCTTTATTCCTTGTCTGACCCCATCTTTGCGGTCAGGGAGAGCTTCTTTGGGGGGAAATGAGAGGGAACGAGCTGTGTGTGTGTGAGCATGCTATATCATGCCTATCCTTCCCTCCCCTCTTCATTGGCCGCTCGAGGTGACTTTTGAGTCGTTTCAAAAGTCAGAACGAGCTGTGTGTGTGTGTGAGCATGCCATGTCATGCCTATCCTTCCCTCCCCTCTTCATTGGCCCCTCCCTATACCCTGGTAATTTCCAGGAAAGATCTCTCAGGACGTGGTGAAGATGTCAGAGCTTGTCCCTGATGCTGACCTGCAGGACAGAGCGGCAGAGGTGAGGGGGGGAGGGGAGGGAGAGGAATTAAAGCAGTGGTAACAGTTACAGAAACATCAGGTTACACACTGTTGACTTGACTCGTGAAGATGTCAGAGCTGGTCCCTGATGATGCTGCCCTGCAGGACAGAGCGGCAGAGGTGAGTGGAGGGAGGAAAGGAATTAGTGGTAGCAGTGGCAGTAACACCCACAAAATCAGTGTCAGATACGACTTCCAAGTGATGGGGTGAAGATGTCGGAGCTGGTCCCTGATGCTGACCTGCAGGACAGAGCAGTGGAGGTGAGTAAACAAGCTGAGTAGTGGTAGCAGGCTGAGGGGAGATAGGGTTATAGGGTTAGGAAACAAGCTGAGTAGCAGTAGCAGAGACGCTAGCTGCTACACTCGTTAGGAAGATGTCAGAGCTGGTCCCTGATGCTGATTGCAGGACAGAGCAGCGGAGGTGAGTAAAGGGGAAAGAACCAGTGTCTTTAGCAACTAACTCATTACTGACGTGGTGAAGTGAAGACGTCAGAGCTGGTCCCTGGTGCTGACTTGTCCCTGTGATTTCTACCACTACTTGGTTTGTTTTGAGACGTGTTATCTCAAAAGAGTTTTGAGACATCTCATAACCCGCATGAGGTCTCTGGGCTGGTCCCTGATGCTGACTTATCCCTGTGATTTCTACCACTACTTGGTTTGTTTCCTAAAATCTCACCTGTCGCTGCCTTCCCTTCCCTCCCCTCCCATAACCCCCCGACCTCTCCCCACCTCTCTGTGCACCCCACTTGTCCCTTTTCTCCCAGGCCATGGCAGCAGCAGTGCGAGACCACATCATGCAAGGCTTTGCACTCCTGGAGATTCGGATCACAGGTGGGTAGAATGATGCACGCATGAAGGTGGTGTTTGAGATACCTCAAGGGGGTTTGAGCCGCAGCCGCCTCAAAAGCCGTGGCAGCAGCAGTGCGAGATCACATCATGCAAGGCTTTGCACTCCTGGAGATTCGGATCACAGGTGGGCATGTCATGTCATGCTCATGCACGCATGGGGTGGAGCTTGAGACATCTCAAACGTCAGGTGGCATGTCATGCCATGCTCATGCACGCATGGAATGGTGTTTGGGTCTTCCAAAAAATCAGGTGGGCAGATCATGTCATGTTATTTTCATGCACGGATGTCTGCCACATGACCACCATACTGAGAGGTCACAAACAACTACATTGTATTGTACCCACCCTTTGCATGTATGCCTCTCCCTCTCGACACTCCAGAGTGACATTCCAGTCACATCTTGAAGACCCGTCTGATGTGCGCAGTTTATCCGTTACCACATCTGACTGCAAGATCGAGACACGTCTCATGCCCCTCCCCCCCTGCCTGCCCCACCCAGATGCTCTACACGCAGTGGCAGCCAAGCCAAGCGCGCCAGGCTCTCTGCCCTCGCTCGCTGCTGCCCCTCCCAAGTCGTGCCCTTGCCCTTCGTCCCTTGCCGCAGTGCTGGAGTCTTTAACCCCTCTGATCGTGCCCCCCCCTTCCCTCCCTCCTCCCTCAGATGCATTGCACGCAGTGGCAGCAAAGCCAGGAGCGCCAGGCTCCCTGCCCTCCCTCGCTGCTGCCCCGGACAAGCCGCTTAGGGGGGAGGGGGGGAGGGGACCGGCCCTTGACAGCAATGCTGCTGGAGTCAATGCAATCCCTCTTTTTCTTCCTTCTTCCCCTCTCCTACCACCAGACGCACTGCATGCAGTGGCAGCAAAGCCAGGAGCGCCAGGCTCCCTGCCCTCGCTCGCTGCTTCTCAGCCCAAGTCGCTGCGCGGGGAGGACAGGCCGCTGGCAGCAGTGCTGGAGTCGGTGCAGGGACTCATCCTCAACTCCTCTCTGCGCCTGCTAGAGGTAAGCTGGAGGAGTCCCAGTGCCTAGTGCTTGGCGTGTGGAGGGGACAGACCACCCGCCCAAGTCGCTGCGAGGGGAGGACCGGCCCCTGGCAGCAGTGCTGGTGTCAGTGCAAGGACTCATCCTCAACTCCTCTCTGCGGCTGCTAGAGGTACAGCCTTCGTTGATTGTCTACCATTCTGACAGACTGCCATCATTATGGTAGTCTTGTTGTGAGCATGCTGCTGCTTGGTAGGAGGGGACAGGCCGCTGGCAGCAGTGCTGGAGTCGGTGCAAGGACTCATCCTCAACTCCTCTCTCAGATTGCTGGAGGTAGGAGGCAGTCTTACCAAGCAGCAAACTTGGAACCCTTAAGGTAGTCCTCCTGTAAGCACGCAGCATGCTTCGGCTTGGTAGGAGAGGACAGGCCGCTGGCAGCAGTGTTGGAGTCGGCTCTTCTTTCTTCACCTTCTCCTTTTGCTTCCTGTTCGTCTTCTCCTCTTCCCTTCCCCAGGATTTCAGGTCTCTTCTCCACGATCGAGTCGATCTCCTCTCCTCCTGGACCCATCACTTCCTCACTCTCATCTCTTCTTATCCCTTCTAATATTTTTCCTTCTTCTGCCCTTGTTCTTGCAGGATTTCAGATCTCTTCTCCACGATCGTGTCGATCTCCTCTCCTCTTGGACCGACGACTTTCTCTCTCTCGTCCAATCACAGCTCTCCGTTCTCTTCTCCTCCCTCAACTCGCACTTCCTTACTCTCTCCACTCCTCCTCCTGCCCACGTGCACCAATCCCCCACCGGCACTGAACGGCCTCCTCCTTCCACCCCTGGTTCAGGTAAGCCACTCTCTCTTCCCCTCTGTCTCTTTCCTCCCTGTTCTCTCACTTCTCCCCTCTCTCGGTTCTCTTCGCCTCCCTCAACTCGCACTTCCTCACCCTCTCCACTCCGCCACCCGCCCACGTGCACCAATCCCCCACCGGCACTGAGAGGCCCCCTCCTTCTACGCTTGGGTCAGGTACGCCACACTCCCCGCATCCTCGCTCTCTCATCATCCATCCGGACATTTCCCTTCCTCCGCTCTCAGTGCTCTTCGCCGCCTCCCTCAACTCCCACTTCCTCCTCTCCACCCCTCCACCCGCCCACGTGCACCAATCCCCCACCGGCACTGAGAGACCCCCTCCCACCACCCCTGGGTCAGGTAAACCTGTGAAAGGTCCGCTTTTTCCCTTTTTCCTCCGCTCGTCGTGCTGTTTTCCTCTCCCAACTCCCACTTCCTCTCCCTCTCCACCCTGCCACACGCCTATGTGCACCAATCCCCCACAATCCCTCCACCCTCCATGTATACATGTGCCCTTGTCCCTTGGCATCCATGCATTCGTCCCTGCGTGCAGCAGGAGGACCGGTGCCCATGCTGGTGCTGCTGATGGCATGCGTTGCGTGTTTGCATAGCATTGCGTGCATATCTATGGAAAGTGACTCACAATGAATCTGTTTGTTTGTTTTTCCTCATCAAACCATCCCTGCTTGCAGCAGGAGGGCCCGTGCCGATGCTGGTGCTGCTGCTAGCTCGTCTCTCTCTCTCTTCATCCAACACACAGCTCTGCCTAAGCTAGCCACTGTGAGTGAACACCATGGAAGCCAGGTGAGGTGAATCCCACTGTTGCTTTGTGGCGGTGCTGCTGGTAGCAGCACTATCACTCACCAGTTAGAGGGGTGACAGTTCTCCTGGTGCTGCTGCTGGCCCGAGACTCTCTCTTCATCCAACACACTGCTCTGCCCAAGCTAGCCACTGTGAGTGAGTCATTAGCAGCCAGCTAAGTTGGTATGAAGGGAGCAAGCAAGCGCACGGTGAGTTCAAGGGCCTCTATCTCGGCTCCTGTCAGGGGAGTGACTATGCTGCTGCTGCTGCTGCTGCTGCCACTGCCACGACTCTTTCCTATCCCACCTCGCAAGGCTCTCTCTCCTTCCTTATGATCTTTCTTCCCCTCTTCCCTCAGATCCTTGAGACCCAGTTCGCTCCCCGCAACATCCGTTTGGACGATGAGAGCGAGCAGCTCTTCTCCTCCTCGGACCTTATGAGGCAGTTCCCCCTCCTGCCTGCTGCTCGTGCCTTCCCCTTCTAATCCCTACAATCCACTCAGATCCTCGAGACTCAGTTTGCTCCTCGAAACGTCCGTTTGGACGATGAGAGCGAGCAGCTTTTTTCCTCCTCGTACCTCATGAGGCTCTCCCTTGCTCCTTCATACTGCTGCTCTCTTGTTCCATTGACTTGTCCCTTCCCCTCTCCCCTCAGATACTCGAGACCCAGTTTGCTCCCCGCAACGTCCGGCTGGACGACGAGAGCGAGCAGCTCTTCTCCTCCTCGGACCTCATGAGGCAGTTCCATGATACTTCTGAGAAGCTTCTGCAGCAGGTGAGAGTGCGCTGAGTGTGCTTGCATGCTTATAGATGGACTCTGGAAACAAATCATCAAATATGAATCACTTTTTGAGTCGACTCAAAAAAACAAATCATAAAATATGAATCACCTCTAAGAATTTTCTCCCTGGGACCCCAGTGTTCACCCCAGTGTGATGCAGACGCAGCTCCCTGCTCAATACGTGGGAAGCTGCATCTGCATCAGATGAACTAAAAGAGATCTTATTCCGCTCACCCCTGCTTCCCTCCCTCCCCTTCCCTTCCCCCCGCCCCTCTCCCTGCCCTCTCTCTGCCCTTTTCCCATGCACCAACAAACCAGTATGTGGGTCTGGAGGCTCGCAAGCTGCATCAGATGATCGCCAAGACATGATCCCTGCTCCGTCGGTCCCTGCTCCCCTTCCCACCCCCCTTCTTCCCTCCCATTCCCTGCTCTTTCCCACGTGCACCAACAAACCAGTATGTGGATCTGGAGGCTCGCAAGCTGCACCAGATGATTGCCAATAAATGATCTCCATTCCTCGCCTCCCCTCCCATCCCCTCACCCCTCCCCTCTCCCCTCTCCCAACTGCCTTCCTCTCTTCCTCACCCCATCCTCTCCCTGCACCCACCAACCAGTATGTGGATCTGGAAGCAAGGAAGCTGCACCAGATGATTGCCAAGAGTGTATCCACACCCAACTGGGTCAAGGTGCGTGCTTGCTTGAATTACAATAGAGTGATTGTTTGATGCAATATATGGAGATAGAATCAGAGGAGATCATCTGCCACCCACTGTGCCCCCTTCGTCTCCCACGTTCCCATCTACCCCCTCGAATGGTCCTTCATTGGATGTAACATGCAATACAACAGCGCAGTTTTATATATTCAGGCACAGGCATCCATTTACCCCCTCTGTCTCTCACGGTACAAGGAGCCTCGGGACGTGCGTATGGTGGTGGATCTGATCCTCCAGGAGGTGGAATCAGTGGAAGACTCAGTGGAACAGCTGCTGGAATAGAGAATAAGGATGTGTTCCCTCCCTTGCCCTCCCAATCTCTCCCCTCCCCTTCCACACACACAGTACAAGGAGCCTCGGGATGTGCGTATGGTGGTGGATCTGATTCTCCAGGAGGTGGAATCAGTGGAAGACTCAGTGGAGCAGCTGCTGAAACCAGATGCAGTATGCAGTCTCACCCCCTTTGCCCACCCTCCCCCCCTTACCTCCCCCCGTCTCTCCCCCTCTATCTGCAGTATAAAGAGCCTCGGGATGTGCGTATGGTGGTGGATCTGATTTTGCAAGAGGTGGAGTCAGTGGAAGACTCAGTGGAGCAGCTGCTTGAACCCGGGGCTGAGCGCTCCCGAACCTCCCGAGGAGGCTCGGGAAGCAGCTACGGCAAGAGCCGCGGGAGTGCAGGGTCGGGAACGGGAGGAGTGGGAGGTGGTGGAGGGGGGGGGCGGTGGGAGGAGCGGGATGGGAGGGGGGCAGAAGGAGAGGGGGGGCACGCGGGGGAGGGTGTTAGAGAGGGATGTTGCGAAGCTCTTCAAGCAACGAGTGGAGATTTTTACTAAGCTTGAGTTTACTCAGGTAAGCGCGGTTTGGGGGTGGAACGAGAGGAGAGGGGGGAGGGGGGAGGAGGGGGGTGGTTGGTGAAGGGGGGGAGGGGTGAGGGGGTGGGGGGGGTTGGGTGTGGGGTGGGAAGGGAGCGAGGGAAGGCTGTGTGGAAAACTCACTCCGAAGAGCTCTGATTGCATGCTTCCCCACTATATCATGCCATGGCGCCTCAAAAAAAAAAAAAAAACGCCTCAAGAGGGGGAAGGCTGTGTGGAAAATTTACTCCGAAGACCTCTGATCGCATGCTTCCCCACTACATTATGCCATCTGTTGACTTGTACAGGTTAATCTGTACCTCTAACCTACCTTCACCACGAGGTGACTTTTGAGTCGACTTAAAAGTCACCTTTGTACGGCTTAACCTGTACCTCTAATCTCTCTTTACCACCACCGCTTAGCGTGATGGCAACGGTGGTGAAGCTCACTCTGAAGAGCTTCCAGGAGTGCGTGCGTCTCGAGGCGTTCAGAGTTTGAAACACGGACCCCTTTTTGCTTCCCCTCTTCTACTTACATGCATATGTATACCCACATCAGGTGTCAGTGATGGCAACTGTGGTGAAGCTCACTCTCAAGAGCTTCCAGGAGTGCGTGCGTCTCGGGACGTTCAACCGAGGCGGTTACCAGCAGATCCAGTGATAGCCTGTGTATATCCACCCCACACCACACCTTGGTGACCGCAGGTGTCGGTGATGGCAGGCAACTATAGTGAAGCTCACTCTGAAGAGCGTCCAGGAGTGCGTGCGACTGGAGACGTTCAACCACTGAGGCACTGTATTACTGATTCTCCAACACTCATATTCCCACCCAACCCAACCCAACCCACCACCGCCCACAGGTGTCGGTGATGGCGACTGTGGTGAAGCTGACCCTCAAGAGCTTCCAGGAGTGCGTGCGACTGGAGACGTTCAACCGCTGAGGCACTGAACCCCCCTTCTGTCATATATACCCAACCCAACCCACCATGGTTCCCACAGGTGTCAGTGATGGCCACGGTGGTGAAGCTCACTCTGAAGAGCTTCCAGGAGTGCGTGCGACTGGAGACGTTCAACCGCTGAGGCACTGAACCCCTATATCACTTCCTTTCTCCAACATACATATGTGTGTACCGACTGCTGATATGCCACTCCACGCCCCACAGGTGTCAGTGATGGCCACGGTGGTGACGCTCACTCTGAAGAGCTTCCAGGAGTGCGTGCGTCTCGAGACGTTCAACCGAGGCTTCTCATCAAGTTCCTTCCTATCCCTTCTTCTGCGCACATGTATATACCACCACCTACAGGTGTCAGTTATGGCAACAGTGGTGAAGCTGACTCTGAAGAGCTTTCAGGAGTGCGTGCGTCTGGAGACGTTCAACCGAGGCGGTTACCAGCAGATCCAGCTGGATGCTCTCTTCCTCTGCGAGTCCCTAAGGGCTTATGTGGACGACGAGAGTGCAGTAGACACCCTTATGGATGAGGTGAGCTGGGGTTGACATGGTTGCATGCATGAGCGGTTACCAGCAGATCCAGCTGGATGCGCTCTTCCTCTGCGAGTCGCTGCGGGCTTATGTGGACGACGAGAGTGCAGTAGACACCCTTATGGATGAGGTGAGCTGGGGTTGACATGGTTGCATGCATGAGCGGTTACCAGCAGATCCAGCTGGATGCGCTCTTCCTCTGCGAGTCGCTGCGGGCTTATGTGGACGACGAGAGTGCAGTAGACACCCTTATGGATGAGGTGAGCTGGGGTTGACATGGTTGCATGCATGAGCGGTTACCAGCAGATCCAGCTGGATGCGCTCTTCCTCTGCGAGTCGCTGCGGGCTTATGTGGACGACGAGAGTGCAGTAAACACCCTTATGGATGAGGTGAGCTGGGGTTGACATGGTTGCATGCATGAGCGGTTACCAGCAGATCCAGCTGGATGCGCTCTTCCTCTGCGAGTCGCTGCGGGCTTATGTGGACGACGAGAGTGCAGTAGACACCCTTATGGATGAGGTGAGCTGGGGTTGACATGGTTGCATGCATGAGCGGTTACCAGCAGATCCAGCTGGATGCGCTCTTCCTCTGCGAGTCGCTGCGGGCTTATGTGGACGACGAGAGTGCAGTAGACACCCTTATGGATGAGGTGAGCTGGGGTTGACATGGTTGCATGCATGAGCGGTTACCAGCAGATCCAGCTGGATGCGCTCTTCCTCTGCGAGTCGCTGCGGGCTTATGTGGACGACGAGAGTGCAGTAGACACCCTTATGGATGAGGTGAGCTGGGGTTGACATGGTTGCATGCATGAGCGGTTACCAGCAGATCCAGCTGGATGCGCTCTTCCTCTGCGAGTCGCTGCGGGCTTATGTGGACGACGAGAGTGCAGTAGACACCCTTATGGATGAGGTGAGCTGGGGTTGACATGGTTGCATGCATGAGCGGTTACCAGCAGATCCAGCTGGATGCGCTCTTCCTCTGCGAGTCGCTGCGGGCTTATGTGGACGACGAGAGTGCAGTAGACACCCTTATGGATGAGGTGAGCTGGGGTTGACATGGTTGCATGCATGAGCGGTTACCAGCAGATCCAGCTGGATGCGCTCTTCCTCTGCGAGTCGCTGCGGGCTTATGTGGACGACGAGAGTGCAGTAGACACCCTTATGGATGAGGTGAGCTGGGGTTGACATGGTTGCATGCATGAGCGGTTACCAGCAGATCCAGCTGGATGCGCTCTTCCTCTGCGAGTCGCTGCGGGCTTATGTGGACGACGAGAGTGCAGTAGACACCCTTATGGATGAGGTGAGCTGGGGTTGACATGGTTGCATGCATGAGCGGTTACCAGCAGATCCAGCTGGATGCGCTCTTCCTCTGCGAGTCGCTGCGGGCTTATGTGGACGACGAGAGTGCAGTAGACACCCTTATGGATGAGGTGAGCTGGGGTTGACATGGTTGCATGCATGAGCGGTTACCAGCAGATCCAGCTGGATGCGCTCTTCCTCTGCGAGTCGCTGCGGGCTTATGTGGACGACGAGAGTGCAGTAGACACCCTTATGGATGAGGTGAGCTGGGGTTGACATGGTTGCATGCATGAGCGGTTACCAGCAGATCCAGCTGGATGCGCTCTTCCTCTGCGAGTCGCTGCGGGCTTATGTGGACGACGAGAGTGCAGTAGACACCCTTATGGATGAGGTGAGCTGGGGTTGACATGGTTGCATGCATGAGCGGTTACCAGCAGATCCAGCTGGATGCGCTCTTCCTCTGCGAGTCGCTGCGGGCTTATGTGGACGACGAGAGTGCAGTAGACACCCTTATGGATGAGGTGAGCTGGGGTTGACATGGTTGCATGCATGAGCGGTTACCAGCAGATCCAGCTGGATGCGCTCTTCCTCTGCGAGTCGCTGCGGGCTTATGTGGACGACGAGAGTGCAGTAGACACCCTTATGGATGAGGTGAGCTGGGGTTGACATGGTTGCATGCATGAGCGGTTACCAGCAGATCCAGCTGGATGCGCTCTTCCTCTGCGAGTCGCTGCGGGCTTATGTGGACGACGAGAGTGCAGTAGACACCCTTATGGATGAGGTGAGCTGGGGTTGACATGGTTGCATGCATGAGCGGTTACCAGCAGATCCAGCTGGATGCGCTCTTCCTCTGCGAGTCGCTGCGGGCTTATGTGGACGACGAGAGTGCAGTAGACACCCTTATGGATGAGGTGAGCTGGGGTTGACATGGTTGCATGCATGAGCAGTACCAGCAGATCCAGCTGGATGCGCTCTTCCTCTGCGAGTCGCTGCGGGCTTATGTGGACGACGAGAGTGCAGTAGACACCCTTATGGATGAGGTGAGCTGGGGTTGACATGGTTGCATGCATGAGCGGTTACCAGCAGATCCAGCTGGATGCGCTCTTCCTCTGCGAGTCGCTGCGGGCTTATGTGGACGACGAGAGTGCAGTAGACACCCTTATGGATGAGGTGAGCTGGGGTTGACATGGTTGCATGCATGAGCGGTTACCAGCAGATCCAGCTGGATGCGCTCTTCCTCTGCGAGTCGCTGCGGGCTTATGTGGACGACGAGAGTGCAGTAGACACCCTTATGGATGAGGTGAGCTGGGGTTGACATGGTTGCATGCATGAGCGGTTACCAGCAGATCCAGCTGGATGCGCTCTTCCTCTGCGAGTCGCTGCGGGCTTATGTGGACGACGAGAGTGCAGTAGACACCCTTATGGATGAGGTGAGCTGGGGTTGACATGGTTGCATGCATGAGCGGTTACCAGCAGATCCAGCTGGATGCGCTCTTCCTCTGCGAGTCGCTGCGGGCTTATGTGGACGACGAGAGTGCAGTAGACACCCTTATGGATGAGGTGAGCTGGGGTTGACATGGTTGCATGCATGAGCGGTTACCAGCAGATCCAGCTGGATGCGCTCTTCCTCTGCGAGTCGCTGCGGGCTTATGTGGACGACGAGAGTGCAGTAGACACCCTTATGGATGAGGTGAGCTGGGGTTGACATGGTTGCATGCATGAGCGGTTACCAGCAGATCCAGCTGGATGCGCTCTTCCTCTGCGAGTCGCTGCGGGCTTATGTGGACGACGAGAGTGCAGTAGACACCCTTATGGATGAGGTGAGCTGGGGTTGACATGGTTGCATGCATGAGCGGTTACCAGCAGATCCAGCTGGATGCGCTCTTCCTCTGCGAGTCGCTGCGGGCTTATGTGGACGACGAGAGTGCAGTAGACACCCTTATGGATGAGGTGAGCTGGGGTTGACATGGTTGCATGCATGAGCGGTTACCAGCAGATCCAGCTGGATGCGCTCTTCCTCTGCGAGTCGCTGCGGGCTTATGTGGACGACGAGAGTGCAGTAAACACCCTTATGGATGAGGTGAGCTGGGGTTGACATGGTTGCATGCATGAGCGGTTACCAGCAGATCCAGCTGGATGCGCTCTTCCTCTGCGAGTCGCTGCGGGCTTATGTGGACGACGAGAGTGCTGTTGATACGCTTATGGACGAGGTGGGTTGGGATTGATAAGAGTGCGTGCATGCACGGTTCCCAGCCTGAATGAGAGGCGGTTACCAGCAGATCCAGCTGGATGCGCTCTTCCTGTGCGAGTCCCTGCGGGCTTATGTGGACGAGAGCGCAGTTGACACTCTCATGGACGAGGTGTGTTGGATTGGAGTGAAAAATTAGGGCATTAACAAATTGAGAGGCGGGTACCAGCAGATCCAGCTGGATGCTCTCTTCCTGTGCGAGTCATTGAGGGCTTATGTGGACGATGAGAGTGCTGTTGACACTCTCATGGACGAGGTGGGTTGGGCTTGACTGGGGCTCAAAGGTGGTTACTAGGTGGGCGTTGACTCAAGACAATACATACACTAGGCATGGATCAGTGTGGATTGCTCTGCATCTGTTATTCTCCGCATGCTGTCCCTTCCCTACCCAACTCAAAACTACACTATTATCATGTGACCATACGTACACTAGGCATGGACCAGTGTGGATCGCTCGGCATCTGTTATCCTCCTCATGCTGTCCCTCCCCTACCCACCTCCAGGTGTGCACGGCAGCAGCAGAGCGCAGCGTTTATCCCACATCCATGCATGCAGTTCAATGGATTCATGTGAATCGCCCTTCATATGTTGCCTCCTGCGCATGTGCCATGTTTCCTTCACTTGCCCCCCCCTTTCCCCCAGGTCTGCACGGCAGCAGCAGAGTGCAAACTTGATCCCACATCCATGGATGCAGTAGTCTTGGATTCATGTGAACCCTCCTTCATGTGAACCCTCCTTCATGTGAACCCTCCTTCATGTGAACCCTCCTTCATGTGAACCCTCCTTCATGTGAACCCTCCTTCATGTGAACCCTCCTTCATGTGAACCCTCCTTCATGTGAACCCTCCTTCATGTGAACCCTCCTTCATGTGAACCCTCCTTCATGTGAACCCTCCTTCATGTGAACCCTCCTTCATGTGAACCCTCCTTCATGTGAACCCTCCTTCATGTGAACCCTCCTTCATGTGAACCCTCCTTCATGTGAACCCTCCTTCATGTGAACCCTCCTTCATGTGAACCCTCCTTCATGTGAACCCTCCTTCATGTGAACCCTCCTTCATGTGAACCCTCCTTCATGTGAACCCTCCTTCATGTGAACCCTCCTTCATGTGAACCCTCCTTCATGTGAACCCTCCTTCATGTGAACCCTCCTTCATGTGAACCCTCCTTCATGTGAACCCTCCTTCATGTGAACCCTCCTTCATGTGAACCCTCCTTCATGTGAACCCTCCTTCATGTGAACCCTCCTTCATGTGAACCCTCCTTCATGTGAACCCTCCTTCATGTGAACCCTCCTTCATGTGAACCCTCCTTCATGTGAACCCTCCTTCATGTGAACCCTCCTTCATGTGAACCCTCCTTCATGTGAACCCTCCTTCATGTGAACCCTCCTTCATGTGAACCCTCCTTCATGTGAACCCTCCTTCATGTGAACCCTCCTTCATGTGAACCCTCCTTCATGTGAACCCTCCTTCATGTGAACCCTCCTTCATGTGAACCCTCCTTCATGTGAACCCTCCTTCATGTGAACCCTCCTTCATGTGAACCCTCCTTCATGTGAACCCTCCTTCATGTGAACCCTCCTTCATGTGAACCCTCCTTCATGTGAACCCTCCTTCATGTGAACCCTCCTTCATGTGAACCCTCCTTCATGTGAACCCTCCTTCATGTGAACCCTCCTTCATGTGAACCCTCCTTCATGTGAACCCTCCTTCATGTGAACCCTCCTTCATGTGAACCCTCCTTCATGTGAACCCTCCTTCATGTGAACCCTCCTTCATCTGTTGCCAACTCTTGTACCGTGTTTCTTGCGTGTTCCCTTCACTTCCCCTCTCTCCCTCCCAGGTCTGCACGGCAGCAGCAGAGTGCAAACTTGATCCCACATCCATGGATGCATCTGCCATGGATCGAATCATGCTGCCTCCTGTGCCGTGTGCCTGACTGACCCACACCCGTGTTTCCTTCACCTTCCCAACCTTTCCTGCAGGTCTGCACAGCAGCAGCAGAGCGCAGCCTTGATCCCACATCCATGGATGCAGTTGCTATGGATCGAATCATGCAGGCCAAGCGCTCTCGAGCGTCCACATAGGGATTCAGACTGTGACAAGCCAAGGGTCTGTGTGGCAATGCGAGGGGGTCTGTGTCTCTGTATGTTATTACTCGGCCATGGATGCAGCTACCATGGATCGAATCATGCAGGCCAAGCGCTCTCGAGCATCCACATCATGGTTTGATTATGACAAAAACAAGCGCTGGTGCAACGAGTATATACCTACGACTATCATGAGCTTTGATGGAGTTAAAGAGACATTTTTTACTAGGCGCCTCAAAATCCGGTGCCATTGGTGCCATGATTATGTATCTATGTGTATCATGAGCTTTGATGCTGTCTGTCACTGCGTGCATGCTGTGCAAGGTGAAACTAGACGTGTTTGATACAAAGGCACAATGTGCATTGATGATGAAATGAAACAAAAGCTCGTAACTAAATCTACACAAGATCAGCAATGTTAGAGATTCTAAGTGAGTCACTACAGCATCATAACGACCTTCTCCTCATCAGCGTTGAGTGGCTGTAATTCGATTTGAGATTGCTTACGTCGAAGCATGCAAAAGCCGACTTGGTCCCACGCTAAATCGATAGCATAAGCTATAGTGAAGAGACCAATCATAATAGCAAATGCGATGTAATACCACTGCATACAATCAAGCGTATGATAAAACGGGAGGGAAGAATTGGAGGAAAAAGGGGGGGACGAGGGGGCGAGGGGGAAGGGAGGAGGGGGGGGGGGGGGGGGGGGGGGGGGGGGGTGTGGGGGGGGTGGGTAGGGAACAAGAAAAGACAGGGCAGAGGAATGGGTGGGGAGGAAGTTTGAGAGTGGGACCAAAAGAATAGGGGAGAGAGAGGAGAAAGGCGCAATAGAATTTCATGTCTAGAGGGCGCATAAAGAGGTGTGTTCCAAAATACAATGGGGATTGAATAGTCGGCTTGCAGAACCGAAGGTACTCTCAACCCGCATCGCAATCATTGCATTGAAAAGGCTTGCCATACTCACATCAAGGTTGTAGCCGAATCTGCTGCTAGCAAGGTCAAGCCCCATCAAGACTCATGCCACGCCATTGCCACAATCAAGACTCAAGTCCCATCACCACACACCGTAGCCACAGCCACACACCATGCATGAGGCAACTCACATCAAGGTTGTAACCAAATCTGCTGCTTGCAAGGTCGAGCCCAAGAAACATGTTGCTCCAAGCCATTGCCACAATCGCGATTCAAGTCCCATCACCACACACCATAGCCACAGCCACACACCATAGCCACAGCCACACACCATAGCCACAGCCACACACCATAGCCACAGCCATACACCATAGCCACAGCCATACACCATAGCCACAGCCATACACCATAGCCACAGCCACACACCATGCATGCAGCCGCTCACCTCAAGGTTGTAACCAAATCTGCTGCTTGCGAGGTCGAGCCCAAGGAACATGTTGCTCCAAGCCATTGCCACAATCGCCACTCCCACCACCCAATGCAGCGCGAACCAATAGCGTCGCAACATGTGGCCCTTGACAGGCCTCAGCTGTCCAATGATTGGCTGGAGGAAGATCAGCAGCAGCACGGCCAATCCCAGCCTGCCATGTGTCGACTGCAGGGAGCTCGATCCTTTTTGGGCAAACGCCATGATGATTCCGACCAATGAGAGCGTGACAGCGAGGAGCATGATCCACTTATGGGCCTCGAATGCATGTGCCTTGGAGATCCAAGGCTTTCCCGTGCTTGCAGTAGCAGTACCAGACATCCCACTTTCTGCTGCTGCTTCTCCTGCTGTTGCTCCTGCTGCTACTGATGCTTTTCCTGCTTCCCCTGAGGCATACAGTGCTGCATCTCTAGCTGGTTTTAAATGCATATGCTCAAAATCCCTTTCTTCGTGCAAAGTTGACCGAGCTGGAAACCCTAATCTCCCTCCCATTGCGTCTGCTTCCCGTGCTTCTGCTTCGGCCTGTGCAGCTGCAGCAGCAGGGTCGGAAGCAGGCTTATCCGAGAGGAATATCCTCGATATAAGCATGGCAGAAGGCATGAGAACGCCAAAAGCTACAGTGAGAATCCACCCATGCGCCATGTAGAGTGCTTCGGCGCTGCTGCTCGATTCTTCAACCTCCACTGTGCCTGAAACGAAGTTGATTGTAACGGATCCTCTGTTTGTAAGGAGGCACGGGTATGGAATGAAATTGGGTGGGGTGTGGTGTGGTGGGATGAGGGTAGATTGGAAGGAAGGGGAGAGATGAGTAAGTGAGCTGGTTGCCTGCTGCAGAGAGTGTTTCAACCCCTAACGGAGCCCCTGTTGGTTGCTCCACTGTCCCCGGAACAAAGTGTAAAAAGAGTAGTTTTTAGACGTCTCAAAGAGAGTAGTTTTACGCTTCAAAAAGAGTAGTTTAAAAGTACTATTTTTAAACGGAGCCCCTGTTGGTTGCTCCACTGTCCCCGGAACAAAGTCGACGCTAGAGTGTTTGTTTGAAACAAAGTGTTGTTTGAAACAAAGTTGACTCTTGCGGAGCCCCTGTTCGTGAAGTGAGCGGATGTGATGCAATGAGGTGGAATGGGGTGGGGTGCGGTGAGGTGAGGTGGGGTTGGAAGTGGGGAGAGGAGAGATGAGCAAACCTACTCACTCGTTTGGCCCGTAATCTTCCCGATGCTGTGAGTCAGAACGAGAGAAGGCCCAGAGCACCCACGCACGCCCAACCTAACCATACTATATCCCCTAACCTTCTTCCCCCCCTGCCTTGCCACTCACTCGTTGGGCCCACGGTCGTCCAGTTGCTGTGAGTCGGAATGAGAGAAGGCCCAGCGAAAGCGTTGCTACCAGACATAATAACGCCCCATGTCTCCCAAGGCCAGCATGCCAGCGACTCACTCATTCGGCCCGTGGTCGTCCAGTTGCTGTGAGTCGGAATGGGAGAAGGCCCAGCGAAAGCGTTGCTAAATAACGAAAGCGAAAGCGTTGCTACCAGCCATAGTAACGCCCCATGTCTCCCAACGCCAGCATGCCAGCGACTCACTCATTCGGCCCGTGGTCGTCCAGTTGCTGCGAGTCGGAGCGAGAGAAGGCTTAAGAGCACGCAAGCCCTTCACATCATGCCAGCCCAGCCAATCCCATGCTTGCCCACTCAATTGTTGCTCAGCCATGCTTGCACAGTGACCACTCACTCGTTGGGCCCGTGGTCGTCCAGCTGCTGCGAGTCGGAGTGAGAGAAGGCCCAGAGCACCCAAGCCCAACCTAACCATACTATAGCCCCTTACCTTCTCCCCCTCCCCCTCCACGGCACTCACTCGTTGGGCCCGTGGTCGTCCAGCTGCTGCGAGTCGGAGTGAGAGAAGGCCCAGAGCACGCTGGTGGCGCCGCTGCTGCTGATGGGTACAGAACCCACTGAGAGGGGCCGCTCGAAGCTGCGGGAATAAGGGTTGCAGGTAGAGGTAGATACGGAATACGGGTGAAGGGGAGGATGGGAGAGAAGGCCCAGAGCACGCTGGTGGCACTCTTGGTGCTGATGGGGACGGCTCCCACTGAGAGGGGTCGCTCGAAGCTGCATTGGAAGGTAGGATAAGGGGGAAAGGGGTTGTGGGTAGAGGAAGATACGGGATATGGGTGAAGGGGAGAAGAGAGAAATTCCAGATCATGCTGGTGGCACGATTGCTGCTGCCGCTGAGGTGACTTTTGAGTCGACTCAAAATGTATCGTGTGCCATTGTAACGAGGTGACTTTTGAGTCGACTCAAAATGTATCGTGTGCCATTGTAACGAGGTGACTTTTGAGTCGACTCAAAAGTCACTTTGAGTCGACTCAAGAGAAATTCCAGATCATGCTGGTGGCACGATTGCTGCTGCTGCTGACGGGGACCACTCCCACTGAGGGGGTCGCTCAAACCTGTGGGAGAGGAGGATGGGTGAGAGGAGGATGGGTGAGAGGAGGATGGGTGAGAGGAGGATGGGTGAGAGGAGGATGGGTGAGAGGAGGATGGGTGAGAGGAGGATGGGTGAGAGGAGGATGGGTGAGAGGAGGATGGGTGAGAGGAAGATGGGGGAGAGGAGGATAGGGGATAGAGAAGAATGGTGGCACTGTTGGAGCCGATGGGGTCCGCTCCCACCGAGAGGGAGCGATCGAAACTGCACGAGATGGAGGATAGAAGATGTGGTGGAGAGGGCCGCGGGTTGGTGTGAGGGAATAGGAATGGGAACTTGAGTGGGTAAACAGTCCACAGAAAGAAAAAAAAAAGCCTGGGCAACTATGTCAGGAGTGGGATTTGAACCCACGCCCTTTCGGACCAGTACCTGAAACTGGCGCCTTAGACCAACTCGGCCATCCTGACACATTTAGCATCTGGATCATGCAATCTACACAAATATATAGTTAGGTGATAGTGCTCTTATATAATTGTGCAGAAGGGGAGTCCTTAGAAGATTCTGGGTAAAAAAACTTAATCCGACCGCTCAGGTTGGATAAGGAAATAAGAAAACGCTGGACACTCACGTGATGATAGTTCTCCCATTCGCTGTCGTGGTTGTCGTGTTGGTGAGCTCGAACGATGACGTCGGCGCCACGTCAGACAAGCCATACCCGCTGAGGTGGTACGCTCCCACCGCCGCCCCGTTGGCAAGAGTGCCACGTGGCAGATTCCCAATGGCTGCGTCAGCGGGGTACATCTTGCCACTGCTGGACCATCCGACCGCCACCCAACCAGACGTTGCCACGTCAGCAGCCATTGCTATCGTATCAGCCTGGGTTTTCCAGTGGAGGATGAAACTGGTAAGGGGAAGGAGGTGGTGGGGGGAGGGAAGTGATTGGGGAGTCAAAGGGTGGGACAGGCCGACGACTCCAACAGTCACTTCTCAGAGGTGACTTTTGAGTCGACTCAAAAGGTGGTGGGGGGAGGGAAGTGATTGGGGAGTCGAAGGTTGGGACAGGCCGACGACTACAGCAGTCACTTCTCAGAGGCATTTATGAAAAGTGATTGAAAAGTTTGAGAAAGGTATTTAGTCACAGCAGTCAGCGGGTGTGTGGGTAAGGAAGGGCGCAATCAGAAGTCACCCTTGATTCAGAGACACCCTCGGAGAGGCATTTTATATCAAAAGTCACTCAGAGGGGGTGTGGGCGGAATTTTAACCCCTATCCATCAAATTCGTACCATGCCCATTCTATTTACTCCCGCCCCGCCCCTCTCAACTTCACCCCTGCCCCACTCTCTCGACCTTAACCGCTCACTCTTCCCCGTCCCCACGGGCTCCTCCCCCTCTCTACTCACTCGGTGCCTTTGAGTTAGATGGAAGCATGGAACACGCATTTATGCACTTTGAATCCTCACATGCAATGCATTGCAACGAAGTCTTCCTTGCACTCACTCATTGCATCTAATATATTTCATACCATCTGCACGCATTTATGCACTTTGACTCCTCACATGCAATGCATTGCATCTAGCACAGTTTATACCATCTGCACTCCCTCTCTCCCTTGTTCCCCAGCCCCACTCACTCGTTGCCTTTAAGTTGAATGGAGCACGCATAGTGACGCAGGGGCGACGGCTCACATGCCACCCTGCTCCTGTCCCTACCCCCTGCCACTCACATTTTCATGACACCTGCCCTTACCCACTCACTCTCCCCTTAACCACTCACGCTCCCCCTCCCCACTCACTTGTTGCCTTTGAGTCGAATGGAGCACGCATAGTCAGGCAGGGGCGACGGCTCACATGCCACACTGCCCCTGCCACCGCCACTCACTTTCCCCTAACCCACTCACTTTCCCCTAACCCACTCACTTTCCCCTAACCCACTCACTCTCTTCTTATTTACTCACTCGTTGCCTTTAAGTCGAATGGAGCACGCATAGCCAGGCAGAGGTGACGCCTCACATGCCACGTTTCCCTTGCCACTGCCGCTGCCACTGCCACCCACTCTCTTGTGCCCCTTAACCTCTCACTCTCCCCTTAACCTCTCACTCTTTGCCCTCCCCCACTCACTCGTTGCCTTTGAGTCGAATGGAGCACGCATAGTCAGGCAGGGTTGACGGCTCACATGCCACGTTGCCCCTGCCACTGCCGCTGCCACTGTCGTCACTGTCAGAAGACACTGCTGACGTGGATGCCAATGACTGGTTCCCTCCATTTTCCTCCTTATGAGCATCATCGTCATCATCACCATCATTATCCACCTCCCCAAACCTATCATCATATTGATCCGCATCATCATCATCCCCACTCTCAACGTCTTCCTTATCACCATCACCATCACCATCACCATTTGAGGAGCCATTACCCCCCTTCCCGTATCTCTCATCCTCATCATCATCATCATCATCATCATCATCATCATCATCATCGTTATCCCCATCATTATCCCCATCCTCTCCCCTCTTGATATCATCATTATCATTACCATCATCCATAACATCATTCTCATCATCATTATCATCTTTATCATTATTCCCCTCCTTCCATCGCCCAAAATCCTTCTCGTCCCCCTCCTCGTCATCATCACCACCATCATCACCCCCCCTCTCAAAATCACCCTCATCCCTATCATCATTATCATATGCATCACCATCACCATCTCCACCACCCATGCCAGCATCATTGTCACCAATGCCATCACCACCACCATCGCCACCACCATCACCACCACCACCACCACCACCACCACCACCACCACCACCACCACCACCACCACCACCACCACCACCACCACCACCACCACCACCACCACCACCACCACCACCACCACCACCACCACCACCACCACCACCACCACCACCACCACCACCACCACCACCACCACCACCACCACCTCCTCCTTGTGAGCTGGAAGGTGCAGATGCACACGAGAAGTCCACATTCATTGAACCTCTGAGCAACAGGATGGAAGTGATGGGAAGAAACGTCAGAATGGGATTAGGTTTCTCATTCCATCATCTTCTGAGCTGGAAGGTGCAGACGCACATGAGAAGTCCACATTCATTGAACCTCTGAGTAACAGGATGGAAGAGACGGGAAGAAACGTCTGAGTGGGATTAGGTTTCTCATTTATCACCTACTGAGCTAGAGGGTGCGCAGCCCCACAGGAGAAGTCCAGATTCATCGAACCTCACTCAACCACTGACCACATGGTTCACTCACTCACACACTCTCTCACACACTCACTCACTCACTCACTCACTCACTCACTCAACCACTGACTCCTTCACGCACGCGTTGTCTCCATGGAAAGCCAGCTCAGTCGATCCAAACTCAGAGAAAGCCCAGATGATGCTGCTGCTGCTGCTGCTGCTGCTGAAACCCACCGATATCGTCTCCACGCTCTTTCACTCGCTCACTCACTCTCACTCAACTACTCGCTCCCACTCAACTACTCGCTCTCGCTCACTCACTCAAACACTGATTCCTTCACTCACGCGTTGTCGCCATGGAAAGCCAGGTCTGTCGATCCAGACTCAGAAAAGGCCCAGATGAGGCTGCTGCTGCCACTGAAGGTCACTCGTACCGCCCCTCCGTCCCGTCGAGAACGAGAGAACCTGCAGAGAGGAGAGAGGGTGTTGTTATCAGGAGGGCGTGGGTGGGTGTACGGAGGGAGAAAGCCCAGACGATGCTGCTGCTGCCACTGAAGGTCACTGGTACCGCCCCTCCGTCTCCTCGAAAACGAGAGAACCTGCAGAGAGGAGAGAGGTTGTTGTTATCAAGGGCGTGGGTGGGTGTACGGAGGGAGAAAGCCCAGACGATGCTGCTGCTGCCACTGAAGGTCACTGGTACCGCCCCTCCGTCCCCTCGAGAACGAGAGAACCTGCAAGCAGGAAAGAATGGGTGGGAGGGAGGACAGGGAGAAAGGGCAGATGAGGCTGCTGCTGCTGCCACTGAAGCTCACTGGTACCGCCCCTCCGTCTCCTCGAAAACGAGAGAACCTGCAGAGAGGAGAGGGTGTTGTTATCAGGAGGGCGTGGGTGGGTGTACGGAGGGAGAAAGCCCAGACGATGCTGCTGCTGCCACTGAAGCTCACTGGTACCGCCCCTCCATCCCCTCGAAAACGAGAGAATCTGTAGGAAGGGGGGATTGGAGGGAGGGGGGTTGAGGAGAAGAGAGGGTGGGAAGAGGGGGAGAAAGGCTTGATGATGCTGTTGCTGCCACTGAAACTTTCTGACATGCAGGCAAGAGAGGGAAAACCCCAGATAATGATGCTCCTACTGCCGCTCATGCAAAAGAACTGTTATCTCGAGACGTGTCAAATCGACAATCCTTTCACATGACATGCAGGCAAGAGATGGGAAACCCCAAATCATGATGCTCCTACTGCCGCTCATGCTCACTGTGACCTCCCGTTCGTCTCACCTCATAATCCTCCCGCCATTGCTTTCGACGCGCCCTCTCGACTCGACTCCATGATCTGCTGTCTTCTCACCTTACAATCCTCCAGCCATTACTTTAGTTTTTGAGAATTCTCAAATCCCGCCATTATTCTCAACGCCCCCTCTCTCGACTCGACTTCATGATCTGTTGTCTTCTCACCTTACAATCCCCCCGCCGTTAAAACCGGAGTCTCACAGGTTTCTAAGCTAGGAAGGTTGAGGCAGTTTTGGGCTGTTTGGGACTCCAATTTTGATCTCGACGCGCAATTAAAGCCCTCTTTCTGCTTTCAGGATTTCACTTGCTTTCTCACCTTATGATTGTCCCGCCATTGCTTCCCCCTGACAGCACAGGCCTTCCAATCTTGAACCTATTGGAAGGCGCCACGGCAGTCCGGCTGTACCCAGAGATTCGATACGCGCGCACGCTGCTTCCCGGAAGGTTCCCGATAACGCAATCCGCGGGGTACATACGGCCACGGTTTGCCGTCCAGCCGACAGAGAACCAGCCGGACTCGGCCCCACTGGCGGGTTTGGCTTCTAGTGCGAACTGCAGGTGAGAGGCGTTGCGGGTCCAATGCAGCACGAGACTGGGGGCGGGGCGGGTGGGGGGAGGCGGGAGAGCGGAGAGGGGGAGGGAGAGGGGGAAGGGCGGAGGAAGAGAGCCGAAGACGGGGCTTAGATGAGCACGTTCCGCTCACCCGATTCAGCTCATTGCATTCAACATTGCTTATTCTATTCAACCTTCGGATGTGCACGCTACAGCAAATATGTTTTTCACATAACGACGATGAGCACATTCAGCTCACGAAGTGCACTCAACCATGTCCGCTCACCCGTTTCCACACATACATTTGCACCCACCTGCACCCATTTCGACCCATTTCGACCCGTTTCCACTCACCCATTCCCCGAGAGGTCAACGGAATTGTTGAACCCTCGCAGGGAAGACGGCTCGCACGGCGCGACGCCGTAAGCCACGGACGCGCCGACCAACAAGAGAAGCACGACACGTGGCAAGCACGCGTCGAGCACGCGTGTCCTCGGAAACATTGCGGCAAGCTCTCCACTTGTCGCGGAAGTCCTTGGGGTGGCTAAGTGGCCAGAACTATGGAGATTATATAAATAAAGCAGATTGTTTATCTAGTAAGAGGCCTAGTCTGCTGGATATTCCGCGCCTGATGCTGTAAGATTAGTCCTAATAAAGAGGCTACTATGTCTGCTTCACGGACCACGACGATAGTAAAACAACCAAGGTAGCTTGGAGGCGCTGGAACTTCAAATGGATATTCTAGCCACAATAGAACGGCCTCGTCAAGACGCGTAAGACGCGCCTCGAATTGGTGCGACCGTCGCTCTTCCCCGCATTATTCGGCGAATACGTTGCGCTACGAGGCTGCGGGAACGGAATTATCAATTTACTGAAACCAGCACTTTCCCAGAGACTCTGGAAACTGCGGCGATCGCTTTTCCAGAAAGCTCTCTTGTGCTCTCCCTTTTCTGTAAAAACTGCAGAGTTTCAGGCTGCAATTTGAACTACAAGGCGGGCAGGAGCGACCAGCCACGAGCAACACAGCAGCAGCTTTTCCTCTTTGGCCCTCCTAGCTGCAGCCAACTAAGCACTGCAGTGCGCTCTGCGGCACAAAGCTAAACAAAGCTGGAGTGGGAATGTCAAGACGGCTGATTTACATTTCGCAAACCGCTTCGTGCAATTCGTCAACCATTTATTGTTTACTACACGGGCTTTCGCTGCGTCGCGCACTTTTCTTGACGCGGGCGGGACGTGAATTGTGCTGCCAGCACATGCGCTTCGGCGTCACATCCATGCTTGGAACATGCATGAGTTTTCACGTTGGCGTTCTTTGCTTTGTGTTCGTCATACGTGGTTGTGATATTCATTTGTCTTATGATCTATTTCGAACTGTATATGCCGTCAATGGTACTGTTATTTATAACGAATCACAGTTTCTGAGCGAAAAAAAAAAAAAACAACCCCCTGCCAGTCGGAACCGACTGAATCACTCGGTTGACCCCAACTGCCAATCAGCTGCTTCATCTGACGTTATTTTGACTTGGCATTGGCTTTCAAAACGCCGTGTCTCACAAGCCAACCAGAGTTGATATTTCAGGTTTGGCGCGAACCAAGCTGTGTGGTGGTGGTGACTGACGAGAGGCGTGAGGTGGTGAGGTGACCGAGGTGAGGCAAGGTGCGATGTACTTTGCATTGCACTTTCCTGATGGGACCTCGACTCGACGCAAAAGTCTTCCATCCCATCGTTATTGTCACGTGCGCCAGTGCCTTCATTCCGTTTCGGATTTGGACATCTCGAGATGTGGAGGTTGAGCCACTGCCGCTTTGTGCAATTTAGAGGGGCGCCGTGCGGTAACAGAGCATTGTTTTGTTACACGACCCTATCACCTCAACGAACCCAACCAAACCCAAGCAACACAACATATGAACAGGTTTCGGCTTGTCTTCACTCTCTAGTGATGGGGATGGGATTGTCAGATAGGAGGGTGCTTCAAGCTTGCTTGAGCGGGCTTGCTTGGGAGTAGTGAGGTTGCTGGAGAGGAAAGGAGCAAACCGGCAAGGTTGTTCCTTCGCTGGTGCCGTAGGGGTGGTCTCCTTTTTCGCCGTCTCTGCTTTTCCAGGGAGCCGGGAACAATGGCTGCTGCAGGGTGGCTGGATGTCACCAGTAAGTAGTACGACATTGAACATCTGAGTGCTAAGAAACGGTTGTTTGAGTCTGGCACTGACTTAAACTAGCCGTTCCTGTCTGTCACATTGATGGCTGCAGAGTTCCTTGCTGATGCTTCATGCTCCTAACAAGAATATTCACCCTCTCATCGACTGTTTTGTGACGATCTTATGATCTGATTGAGTTGCGTATTTGTGTGCAGTAATTGGTGCGAGGGATCTCAAGGACACGGAGATCTTTGGCATGCAAGATCCGTACGCGGTTCTGATGTACGGTCAACAGACTCACCGCACCAAGACCCACAAAGGTGACGACTCAAACAACGAACATCTTGTATTGCCATTTTCTCGGTTTTTTCTCATGTTTTATTATTTTTCTTTCTTTCTAACGTGACTAACTTATCGTTGTTACGGAGACGTCAAGAATACTGGCTCTGTCCCGACAATAAAATGGCAATGTTACGAATTCCCGTGAAAACCGTTCGGCGCTGAATTTTAGGCGAACTGATTTCATGCATTCGGCCAATGCTCTTCATCGTTTTTCTTACGCGCGTTGAGCACGACCTAATTGGAACACGATCTTCCAGCTGTAGTCTGTTCTTCAACATATTTACCTCTACATCATTTTCGTGTTCATTCGTTGCTTACCAGACGGACACACGTCACCCGTGTGGAACACGACCTTCCGTCTGAACGTTATCCATGGCGTCGACGAGGCTCACTTCGCGGTCTGGAACGAAAACAGGAAGGCGGACGACAAGATTGGGACTTGCAAGTTAGTTCCCTCTCGACCAGCTCATTTTCCTTTCACGTTGCCTGCCCCCATTTGCCTTCCATCGAATCGTTGATTCTGCAAGTACGCATCTTGCCTGACAGCTCGTTTCCGTAGATTTGTTCACGGTATCTCCCGGAATTTATGTTCAGAGGTTTTTCTTTCTTTCTTTCTTTCTTTTCTTTCTTTCTTTTCTTTTCTTTTCTTTTCCACTCCCTTCGCAAAGATCTGAGATTCTTGAAGTTCCTTAATCGTCCACCTCCCACTATCCGTGACATGACATTCCCAGGGTGAATATCCGACAGGCCTTCAGCTATCCGGTGTGGGACTCGTGGCATCCTCTCTTCACTCCCAAGGGCAGGTCAGCTTTCTAACATTTTCACCTAAGCTTTCTAGCATTCGAGTTTGTGACACCCGTTCAGACGGGAAAGAAGAGGAAGAAACACTCAGCTTTACTTTGACTAACTCTTTGTTTCGAAGGGTTTCTTTTCTCAATCTTATCCAACTGGACATTAGGAGAATTTATTTTTGTTTTGCTAGAGTTTTCCTTATAAATTGATTAATATTCATCCCTATCTTCGGGTGCGTTTGCCATGAATCTCCCCATTATTCTTGCGATTGCAGGCAGCAGGGGAGCCTTCGTCTCGCTCTGAAGTATTACCCGGTATGTTCACCTCCTTACCCACATGAAATCATCGCTATGTCTCTTTCACTCTCTCTTGTCGACACTCGTCCCCCTCTTGGTCGCTGCTGGCCCACACTCTCTTCCACTGTTGCCTTAGGAGGATGTGTGATTTGCCTGCAAATCTCGGAACTATCTTTTAATCTAATTCATTTCAGTGAGCGGTTTATGCATATCAGCAACGGACCGGTGGTGCTTGTTTGCATGTCGCGCGTAGCACATGGTTTTTCGTTTCCGGGATCGACAGTATTCACAGTGACATATCAACCATCTGTTACCTCCCCTTCTTGCCCGTCCCATCTCAGCCTGTTGGTGCTCCTGGCGCCCCCGCCGCTGCAGCAGCTGCCTCCTCCCACGCCGCCCCTCCCCCTCAGGGGTACCCCCAGCAGCACGCCCCTCCCCCTGCCGGCCATGGTCCCCCGCCATCCGGTTACCCAGGTTACCCGCCCCAAGGCGGTTACCCTGGCGCTGCTCCCGCGGGCTATGGCGCTCCTCCCCCTGGGGGACATGCCCCTGCCCCCTACGGCGCTCCTCCCCCCGGCGGACATGCCCCTGCGCCCTATGGCGCCCCTCCCCCTCAAGGCTACCCGCCCGCCCCCTATGGCGCTCCCCCTCCCCAGGGCTACCCTCCCCAGGGTTACCCGCCCCAGGGTTACCCTGGGTATGGTGCTCCTCCTCCCGCCCATGGGCATGCGCCTCCTCATGTGCATCATGCCCCCAAGCCGGCTGTTGTTGTGGTTCATGGCCATGGTGAGTTGGGAGGAGTGAGCTAATTTTGCGTGGGAAAGGGGGAAAGGGCAGGCGGCAGAGGGGAAGGACCTAGGCTCTCTCTTCCTCTAATTCTCTCTCTCTCTCTTCCTCTATTTCTCTCTCTCTCTCTCTCTCTCTCTCTCTCTCTCTCTCTCTCTCTCTCTCTCTCTCTCTCTCTCTCTCTCTCTCCCAACCTTTATCTCACAACACCCCGTCCCCCACCCCCCTTCCCACCACTCACCACCCTTCCTCACACGCAAACATACTCACATGCACATCCACACACACACACATACAAAGTGTGCTAACGTCCATGTTCATATGCACATGTGCAGCATCCACGGTCATTATGAGCATGTATTCATTGTTCCTTTGTATTCTGCTAAAACTCACTTCCATATATTTTCATGCAGGTTAATGTATCACTCACTGTGTTTCCCTCAATCCTCGGGTCATCAACTGTAGAAGTTTTTCATGGTGTACATTAATCAACCCCTTCAATTTTGTTGCCCGGCTCCACAGGCCACCACCACCATCACAAGCGCAAGTTCAAGGGCGGCTTCAAGAGGAAGGGGTTCTTCGGTAAGAGAAAGGGATTTTTGGGGAAGCGGAAGGGCTTTTTCGGAGGCAAGGGCTTTTTCTAACCTTGTTTTGCTGGATAAGGATGCAAATTATCTAAGATTCTGTACAGTAGTATCATCATGCTAGTATAGTATGTTCCTTAGTGCTCAGAAATTCGACATTACCGGTACCAATAAGTTCAACCCCCCCCCCCAACCCAAAATACAAAGCGGCGAGGATCGTGGGTGCTGATCTGCTTGTATCTGCTACTCCCCACTCCCCACCAGAGGGGATGTGGGGAGTAGCAGATACAAAAAGAGGAAGAGCTGAGGGCGTAGGGTGCGGTATGGTCTAGAATGTGAGAAGAATGGTCAAGCGGGAATGGAAGACAGCGCAGGGAATGGTCAGATGATGGTACAGAAAGGACGATAGCTAACATTGAAGGCAACATTGGTTGGTTATTACCAGCAGGTCCACCATGTAGGGAGCCACAAGCTCTCTCCCACCCTTGCCATGTCATTGTGTCATTGTTACCTTCTGAAAAGTCAGCAGAACAATGAATCATGTTGCTGAATAACTAAACAAGCAGGGGAGTTTATGTAGGCAAGGCACATGCACACATGAATACTATATGCACACGCACACATTCACACATGACACTCTAATAACAATGGATGGTTGCAGCGGAAGATTAGACAGCTGTGCAGTGCCAAAGGTGGGGACACTGCCAGCACACTGCCAGCACATTGCCAGCACATCACCAGCAACTTGCCAGCTCATAGCCAGCACCTCACCCTGACCTTGTTCTGCTGCTTCAGCTTGAAATCCATTCGGCCCACCAGCAGCCACAGCAGCAGTTTGAGGGTACAACACATTGGAGCCAGTGCATTGTGAGGTTAGTAGAGAACGGGCTTTGAACAGTGCTGTACAGACCACGTGTGTGTAGGGTGCAGCCGTGACTGCTGAGCAGACTGCAGCGTGCAGCTTGAGCTTTGAAGAGTGCAGTACAGTGCAGTCCAGTGTGGTTGACAGTGGGCTTTAAGCAGAGCAGTACAGGCCGCATGTGTATAGTGCAGCCATGACTGCTGAAGAGACCGCAGCCACACCAGCGCAGCTTGAAAAGTGCGGTACAGTGCGGTTGACAGTGGTTTTTAAACAGTGCGGTAGAGGGCACAAGTGTAGAGTGCTGCCATAATTGCTGAGCAGAGTGCAGCCACGCCCGATGGGGAGGGCTCCTTCCGCAGAAAGCAGCGTTCAGCTGCAAGCATGGAGGGAAGCAGGGATGCACGGGGTGAGATTGGGGGTTAAGCCCATATGAGGATGGGAATAGTGGGAGCAGTAGGAGCAGTGGGGGCAGGAGCGGAGTGCACCGAGCAGAGTGAACCGAGCAGAGTGAACCGAGCAGAGTGCACCGAGCAGAGTGCAGGGGAAGGCTCCTTGTACAGCGAGTTAGGCTCAAGTGCGAGCAGGCAGGCACAGAGTGGGACTAGTAAGCCGAACAGGCTCAAGCGAAGTCATCCAAAGTGTCACGGCCTAGCACACGCTTTTGAGGCGTTTTGCTTTTGAAAGATGTTGCAGACTGCAGCCACGTCTTATCCATTCCCCGTTTACCGTTTTACTCTTGCTTCTCGTTCTAGTTCCCTTTTGTTTTTTTTTTTCAATGTCTTCCTTGCTTTGTAGCTATTCACTCGTCTGACTGCCTAACAAGCACATGGTAGCCACCTCATACACTCACCCAAGCACAACGCACATAATGGCACCTCACCACACCGTACCACTCCAAACCACTCCGCCGCTCACCTGACCACACAGAAACGCCGACGGATGCCCCAAGGCCCAGCACGTAAGAGTCGAACCCATACCGCGTTCTGCAGATGAGGCAAAAGAAGTGGTGAAAGCACAAGGATGAAACAGAAGGAAGAGACAAAGCACTAGGAGAATGGGTAGGAGGGGTGTGTACACGGTGAGCCAACAAGTTTCTCCCACAAAGCTGTTCATTTCTTCTCTTCTGTAATAATAACTTTTCGGTGGGTAGATATAATTAGACTAGTTCTTTTTCTGTAGTGGGCGAAAAGGGACGAGTGGAACGTACGAGTTCAGGCGAAGGGCCGAAGCGATGAGCAACGAGGAGAGCCCAGCAGCTGTGCGGAGAAAATCCGGAGGCAGAACCTTCTCCTTCAACCCTATAACGATGCAGTAGCACGCGTGTAACGCGGCAAACGCCAGGCTGAGAAACGGCAGCGCGTCAATCTGATTGGCGCTCCGCCGGTTCCCCTCATCCCCGTCGTCTCCGCCGTCTCCCCCGCCGTCGCCGCCTTTCCCGTCGTCATCGTCCCCGCCTCTTCCGCCGCTGTCGCCGCCGCCGCCGCCAGCTTGTTCTTTGAAGATTCTTTCTTGTAAGCTTTTCATGGTTTGTCGCTCCATCATGGCATTGGCCCACGGCCCGTATCGGGTATCGAAGAAGCTTGAAGCAGGGTTGGATGAGGTCCCATGGGACGGAGTTGAGATATGTGGATGGTGAGGTAGGAGAATGTCCGGGTCGCCCTCGTCGGTTCGGAAGCACCTTGGGATTCCGAACCTGTAGGGAGCACTGGTGGTTCGAAGTGCGATGTTGACTCGCTGTCGTGGTTGAAAAGTACGGAAATGACACGGTTGTGATTGCAGCAGCAATAGACTCGTGTCGGACTGCTGCTCAGCTGAGGAGTTAGAGAGGAAGGAAGCGGACGAGTAGAGGGAGTGTACGGTCGGTTGAGCGTTGCTCCTCGAGTTGTTGATTGCAGGAGCCGGGACGACTGGGGAAGAGTGTCTTCCGAGTAACCTGCAGTCGGTTGTCTTGGAGTGGGTTACAGTCGACGCGGTCACCACGGAGTGAGTCATGGACAAAGCCGTTGCCATTGCGTCGGGGTTAACTTATGTACACGGGAGTCAGGACTGGATTCGAATCAGGAATGTGCGCGTGGTCTCAAGCCTCGAATAATGGCTTCAGGCGCACGAAGGCTGCAGTTGAAAGAGAACCGTCAGAGAAGTTGCGGAATGAATGAGCCAGAAACAGAAGAGAATGCGCATGGCATGAGCATATTTAGGAGCTTCCGTGCTTTCCAGCGGGAGATTGCAGCCTTCCTGTTGTTCGCTTCCAGTTGCTCGCTTGCAGTTGTGAGCGTGAATGTGCTCTGATGAAGAGACGTTCTTGTCGCCTCGTCACACTTCTGAAGAGCTGGACTTCAGAATGTTCAATATCGGAGAGTCTGATGACGAGCACAAGCTCTGAACTGCTCTGCTTGCTTGCTTTATCAGCTTTCAGAAGCACCGCGTCCGACAGTTTGTGAAGTCGTGCTTGTGCGACCCACAAAATCCAGCAGCGCCGGTTTGCAAGAGCAGCAACGAGCTTTTTGAAGCACTGGGAACAACGACGGAAGAGCAAGGAAGAAACTCGTTTCTGCTGCTACCTTCACAAGAATCTGCTTTATAGGGGTCGTTTGGGTTCATTGTCAGAACATTTCTCTCTTTCCAGCTGGAGAAAACGGACTTTAGTTCGGCTCAAATACCCAGCCCAACCAGTCTAACTATCAAACAAAACGTCCCAAAGCGCAATGGATCCTACTGTACCGTACTGGTGCGTCACGCCCTTGTACTCTCTCCGTTGTTCCCATGAATGCAACAATTCCCTAGGCCAGGCTTCCGCCTTCTCCCACATTTCCCGTCCCAAACCGAAAACATTTCCCGAGCCAGCGTTGACAATGACGGGGGAACGGCCAACTTCGTACATACTCAAAGTATTCCCGAGCGGGTTCTCAGGTGTAATCACCAACCGAAACACAGTTTCGCGATATAGTATGAGTCTATTCGGGTTGTTTTCTGGATACAGTCACAAAAACAATTACAGCACTTGAATAAAATCTATATAACCTGTAGCGGACCTGTATGAATTTCGGGACGATTCAACCCTAAATATAACAACAAGCCACCCAATATTTTGGAAAAATATAATGCACCCTACCTGACCCAAAAATAAAACCCAATCGGAAAGGGATGTGACTCGGGAGGCATCAACCCTAAAAACAATGCCCTTTCCCGTGTTTAGGGTTGATCCCTCCCGAAAATGCGTCCAAGTTCCCTAGAGGGTTTATTTTTTGTTTCGGCCCTACGTAAATTTCCGTACTTTAATCTAACATATCCAATTCGGGAGGGTAAACTGGATGTTTCTGTTTTTGTCACTTCCTAAAGAGTTCGGCCAGCGTGAAAGCGACGACGAATCAACGTTGAGGAAGTCCAGGCTGATTACACCTGAGAACCCGCTCGGGAATAATTTGAGTATGTATGAAGTTGGCCGGACGGGGGAATAAGGGAAGCTCGAACGTCAACTTCGAGAACATCGCCAAGCCACTGCCGAACCTGCCACACCTGTCAACAAGCGTCCTCGCACCTGCGCCTACTGTACCCCCAATCGGGTCCCTCAATCCGCCACCTTTGCCTTCTGGGCCTTTCCGAGACAAAATCAAGCCAAGCGAGAACAACGATTGGCTAAAATTAGTGGTTCGTGCCGAGCTTAAATATCGGCGGTTCGTATGGCTGATGAGCATTTCTTTCCGGTGTGGATGTACTTTCTCGGAGAACTATATTTTCATAATCCCATTCCATCCACTAAGCGGCAATGCTTCCAGCAGGCGACAGGCAGGAAAGTTGCGAAGAAAGCTGTTCTGCAGGGATTTTCACATTCTTGACAGTACGTTCCCTAACTCCCCAATCTCTGGTTTCCTACTCTGACTGGCGCCAGCGTGGAACTCAAGCTTGCTGACTGCTATTCCAGGAAAATGGTGGGAGATGCTGCCGTCAACGGGGAAGAAAAGCAACTCTGGGCCTTCATTCATGGGAGCGTGACGCTGGAACGCATGACACTGACGTGGCATCCGCAGAGAAGGCACAACGGGAACAACGACGTGAAATCTCGCTTCCCGGAGTTAGACGAACAGTTGAATAGGTTCTATTATCCTATCCTATATTTTCACCAATATTTTCAACACTGGATTTTCATTTATGGACGGCCAATCACATATAACCACATCCATGCGGTGTTGAAAACAAG